GAGGACTGGGACGGCGAAAACGGAGACAAAACGGTTGATCCCGGAGCATTGCTCCGCCGTGAAGATCTTCCACCACTTGACCGATCCATAGGCTACGAACATGGCGAAGTAGAGTGGTGTCATTGCACACATCACTTTGTAGAATTCGCTTCCCGTTATCATCTTCGATCTCTGCTTTGATTCTTCTTCTTCTTTCTTTCTTGTTGGTTAAGGTGTGTAGGTTAAGTTATGTGCAAATGCGTTTGTGTGTGTTGGGTTATATAGGGACTTGTTGACGAGATTACCCCTAGTTTACTCGTTATTTGCGTATACATCATAATTAATATAATGACATATCATAGTTTTCATATTGTTCTAACTTTTTAAAAAGTAATATTTTAGAATAAGTTCATAAAATAGTTTTCTATATCACTATTTGCATTATTTCTCTTTATTTATTGTATAACTTTTCTTACCAATCAACAGAGAAATATATATCGCAAAAACAGTTGAGTTACCATAGTTTTGGAAAGTCTATATCTAATTAATTACTATAGTTTTGAAAAAAAAAAATCTTAAACCCTAATCCCAAACACACATCTGTTTACATTTTGATTATGTTATAACATAGATTAGGAGATGCAGAGTAGCTTCTTTTTAAAAAAAAAAAAAAAATGAGGCGGATTTCTAATTTACTATGGTTTGGCATAAATAATACCGATAAATCTATAACAAAATAAATTACTGTAACAATTTTCTTACTTATAAAGACCTTCATCTTCAACATAACTACATAAGTATAACTCTGATGTTAAACAAAAAAAGAAGCATAACTCTTTCTTCAAGAGTCTATAATAAAAATAAATAATGGTAACCAAGAAAAAATAAGCCATTTTGTATACCCAAGTCGCAAGTCCTGGTATCCAGTGTTTTGTCTAAGTAGGCTTTTCACCCTCTTATTATCTACCTAACTATGTTTTTTTTCTTTTTTTTTTTTCTCTTGGTTATGATTAAGTTTGTTGCTTTTGGTGTATTAATTTTACAATGAGAAACGAAAGTGTTGTTCATAGCCAATTACCGCAATGAGGAGTAGAATAATATTTGTACCATATATAATATAAATTTTACCAAATCAACATATACCTTCGTTACTACAAAACCAGTGCCAAAATAGGATGAAATAGAGACGGATATACCTTCGTTGTTACAAAACCAGTGCCGAAATATGAAATAGAGACGGACGAGGATAAATAATTTCGTTGATATAGAGTTATTTTATCAACACATTATGAAATACAGATGAAAACTACTCATTACCAGTTTGTTAAGAAATAAACTAATTTGCAGCAAACTCGGACAAAATAATTAATCGAAAGCATGTGTTTATCCACAAACTCTCACACTTTGTGCTTTGTCAAAATAGGCTTTCCCCCAGATTATCCCCCTAACTCGTTTGTTTTCTTCTCTTGCTTACGATTAATCTTGTTGTTTCTGGTGTATTTTATAATGGAAAACTAAATTTCTATTTAGGCCAAAATCTACCACGAATACATGGATAACAATCAAGATGAAAATAATTCAGATTTAAATCTTTTTAATCAAAGCCACCTAATTTGATGGGTCACTAATAAATCATAATTTCTAGTATCTGTCTCAAAATAAAATAAAATATATATAGTACAGTTTTACTCGTCTTATAAAATTATGGAAAGCCAACATGTCTGAAACTAATAAATGTTTGGAACTTCTGACCATAGTGATTGTCATGATCTTGTTGCAGTTGTACTAACACTAAAATATGCCAATTATAATAGAAGCAAATAGTCTATATAAAGATAATTGTCTTGTTAATATATTCACGTTCTTACAGTATTACATACATATATACATATATTGTGTATATAGATGTGTGTGTGTGTGTGTGTGTTTGTGTAAAAGAAAGGGAAGGAGATCCTCATAGAATCTAAGTTCAATGATATTAGCGCAATGGGTGGAGACTTACAGTGTTAGCCTTTTGCTTTAAAGCTTAAAAGCCTTTAGCCTTTAACCTTTTGGCAATTGCAAAAACTAAGCCATACGTAACCTTTTTCTCATTAAAGAAATAAAATTATTTTGTCAACGAAAGGCTACACAAAAGTTTGGGATTATTGATTCCGTCCTATATGTCTAACCTAATATAAATAATCTTAACTAATCCTACTATTCATATTAACATGAAGACAAGAGTTCTGTAGGATATATTATAAAACAACGTTTAGATATGATTATATTTCCCAATGTGTAATGGCATTAAAGCCTCTTTTAACCTTCTATTGTCTGTATATATAAGTACACACATAAATCTGACAAAGAAATTTGGAATAAGCAAGTTTCTTTCTCGTGTAATGTTTTCCGTTCATTCTATATTTAAATTAATTAACATAGTCTCTCTTTAACATTTTACCAACAAAAAAATCGTCTCTTTAGGTTACCACCATAGTATACATATGAAAAGTTGTGAATAAAAAATGTATGAGGTCTTCATTAATATGTATAAAATTTAATATTAAAAGAAAAATATACCTGAGAAAAATATAGCAAAAAGAAGGTAGATGATGATGAGAAGGAAGACTAAGACGAAGCGCATGGGATCGAGGAAAGGGGAAGAAATGAATAGAAGTGGGATATTGTGGGTAGGTTATAAAATCAAATCAGCTTCAAGTGCGGAAAATGATATTTAACGAAAAAAAAGTGCGGAAAATGATGGTTTCATTTCAAAATTCTAAACTACATACTCAATTATATTTAGAAATAAAAAAAGGAAAATCTGGAAAGTGAGTGAAAAAAATGGTCTGAGAAAAGGGGGCAAGAACTAAAATGTGTCTGGTCTAGTCATTGGAAAGGGAGAGAGAGAGGTTGGGAGTGTGGATATCAAAGGAAAGTGACATAACATATGTTTTGCATCTTTCTAACTCTCTTCTCTTCGCGTGCCATCAATTCATCATTTTGTTCGTTTCTTATTTTTGTTTCATTGGCTCATTTTCCACCAACTTCTGTATTTTTCGTTACAAACATGGGTACATTATTCCGTCTTGTCAATGTATATATGATAGATATTTAGATACGGGCAAATATCAGGTATTTGTTGTTGCAATACATTTTCTAAACGAATCTCTATGACTATAAGTTCATCGTTTTCTTGATATTTAACGAAAAAATATAGAATTTCTAAACGATCTTGACTATGTAAACAGGCTTTATGTGTATTTTTTTTTCAAAAATCGATATTCATAAAATGTATTAGTGTAATTTTTGTGTGTACAAATAACGTAAATGCAAATCGCTTATCTTTCCGTTAAATTAGTAATTATTGTTCTAAACATAAACGGAGGATTATTCCCGTTCCTACACTCAGGTTTGGTCTTGAGCTCTTATCTTGCAATGAAATATCTGATGGGCCCAATTCTTCGTATTATTTTGTTACAAGCGTAAAATATAACATTTTTTTAATATAATAATTTCGTTATTACAAATAAAATGTTACTATTAAAAAATGTAGCACAACTTTGAAATAGTTAATGCTGATGTCAAATAAAAATACTAATAGTGATGCTGATTGAAAAATAAAGAGCAAATTCCAATGAAAATACCAAATTAATGTTTCCAAGACCTCCGCCAGTTCAAAGACTTGAGCCATTGTCACCTTGTGATATAAAAACATACAAAAGAATGCAATTAATTTCAAGAAATTTTATTTTTTCTTCAATGAGATATCTTGTAGCTACATCTTTATCTTTCTTATACCTTACCAAATTTTAATTGATTTAGTATAAAAATTTTTTTCAACTGTCTTAATTAAAGTTCCTTATACGAGCTTCGTGAAACACTAGATCAGTACCCAAGTGTCAGTCTCCTGATCAGTTGTTGTTCTCTCCTCTTTTTTATTTCTCACAATTGTGACAGTTTTTAAATGCAGAAAATTTCTGATCATAACCGTGACCGTTAGCCAAAGCCCATTCTCCATCTACCATAGTACCATACTTAACTTTCTATCTCGCTCTCTCTCTTACAATCTTTCAATCGAGCCTCTCTGTTTTATAAACTCAAAGAAAGAAGACGATACAGAAATAGCAAAACTACAAGAAAAATCCTTGGCTGTAATCAGAATTAAACCGGCTTGCACGTGTTCCTCACGTGACAAAGCTAACCTTGTTTTCTTGAAACCTTCTAGCGAGAGTCGTTCACATGCAAAGAATATTCATCCGATCCGATCACTTGTTACACCTACTTACACTTCTATCAAATTTGTTGCCATGTGCAGTCATTTGTTTGAGCTTTTGTGATATTCACATTGACAATTTGCAGAGCAAACAAAAGACGTTACGATGGATTTCAGTATATATCTCTTTAATTTATTGCACATGCAGTTTTATAGCTTTAACACTCGCCACGTTATTCTAAATTATCCACGTTGAGTTTTTTTCCATTCAAAATTATATAATTTATAAAAAAGAATTATTAAATTTTGTTTATGGTCAAAGGAAATATTTATAATTAGCTTTCCATATATTGTCTAGTTTTAAAGAAAAAGACAGCCAAAATTGGAAGTAAAAAATTGATTTACTATGTATTATCTACTATTATATATTGTCTTTTTACTATATATTGTTATGGCTTCTGGTGGAACAAGAACTCGAACTTTTTTATTTTTATTTTTATTTTTGTGTTATTATTTATTGTTATGGCTTGTGGTGGAACAAGAACTCATTATTTGGAAAAAATAAATGAAAGAAATGTACTTTATCGAATATGCATGTTAGTATATTTTGTTTATAAGTTACTAAAATACTTTTTACAAAATCGAATTAAAAGGTTTGTCACTTATCGGAAGCATTTTACGCGGTAACAGCTATATGCAATGAATGACATAAAGTCAAAAATATGAAAAGATATATATATATATTTATTATATTGAATCCTCCTCTATGGATATAAATACAGACCAAATAATAAACTTTGCAACTTACCTTAAACAAGCAACATAAAAAAAATGAGCCGTATTGTACGAGAGAGTACATCAAATAATTTCTTTAGTCCGAAAATGATCAGTGCTGCAATATTTATAGTTTTGTTTTTTCTTCATAATCAATTCAGTCTCTCAGAGGCACAACTCCAATTTGGGTTCTACTCAAAAACATGTCCATCAGCAGAATCCATCGTCCGTAACGCTGTTCAACAGTCAATGACCCGCGACCCCGGAAATGCTGCTGTCTTACTCCGTCTCCATTTCCACGATTGCTTTGTCGAGGTCCATTCCAAAATCTAACATAAAATTAAGGACAATTTATTATCTATCTCTTCTCTTACACTTACATCATATGATGTTTTGTTCCGAGTTAGCTGACATAATTTGGTTTGGTTTATATATGTTGGAGGGTTGTGATGGGTCGATTCTAATAAAACACGAAGGAAATGATGACGAGAGATTTGCTGGGGGTAACGCTGGTGTGGGAGGTTTTGATGTTATAGACGAAGCCAAATCAGAGCTTGAACGTCAGTGTCCGGGCGTTGTGTCTTGCGCCGACATCGTTGCTCTTGCTGCTAGAGATGCTGTTGCTGAGGTAACACTTGATTAGTTTCAACAAATTGAGTCCTACTCATTTTATATTTGTCAAAAATTTGTCAAGAGGATTAAAATATAAAGGAAAAATTGGTGACTTCTTTTTATCCAAAATTGTATTATATAGTTTCTTGGTAAAGTATAAAACTCTGATACTGAATATTATTAAACAGGCAAAAGGACCTTTTTACGAGGTTCCAACAGGACGAAGAGATGGTAACACTGCAAAGTTGAGTAACGCTGCGAACTTGCCAGATGCTCAAGATTCCATAAACATTTTGAAATCCAAATTCAGAGAAAAGGGGCTTTCAGATAAAGATCTTGTACTTCTTAGTGCTGGTACTTCTAATAATCTCGACAACTTGATTAACTTTTTTTCATTTGTTTAAATAACTAGGAGGTTTATGATCGAAATCTGTATATATTTCCTCAAGCCAAAGATTGTATAGTATAATCCTTCCCGTTTATAATTAATTTTATTCATGTTTATAGGTGCACATACTATTGGCACAACAGCGTGTTTCTTCGTTAACCCACGTTTAGATGCTCAAGACCCCACGATAAACCCAGAGTTCTTCCAAGTGTTGAGGTCAAAGTGTCCACAAGGTGGTGATGTTAATGTCAGAATTCCGTTGGATTGGGAAAGCCAGTTTGTGTTCGACGACCAAATCTTGCAGAACATCAAAAATGGCAAAGGAGTCATTCTATCAGACTCTGTTTTGTATCAAGACAATAATATGAAGAAAATCATTGATTCATATTTGGCCAATAACGGGAGTTCGAAAGCGAATTTTGCTGTGGATTTTGCTGAAGCCATGGTAAAGATGGGTACCATTGGGGTGAAGGTCGGTGTTGAAGGAGAGATCAGACACATATGCAATGCTACAAATTAGTTTCGATTAACAAATGCTCATATTAAAGTAAATGCATATTAAATATCCAATCCGAATATGTTGGATTTAAATAAATATAATGATCAATGATTCTTAGGACTATGATAAAAACATGTAAACAAAATAATATGATTAAACATTGAACTATTATAAACAAATTTGTTATTACTTTTGAATCTTATAATATCAGCGGAAAAAGAAGGTTAGAGAGTTTAAACCTCGGTTTAGAAGGACACTAGGACAAATAAGAAGAAGGAAAAAATGTTTGGTCGAAACCATTTTACTTTGATGGATCTTAAAATTTCAATTCTTTCCCATGGATGAGTAATAAAAAAATATATAATAAGTATATAATAAGTATTTTTAATCAATGAATTATCAAGAATCTATGACGAAAATAAAATATTTAGTCAGCTAATACGTTTAATTCAATTCTTATCTTATTCTAACATAGATGATGATACGGTGCTAGACTTATGTTCATTTTTTTGCATATTTTTTGCTCATATTTTCCTTACTTTGTGCTAATTAATGATGATATTGTGCTAACAAATTAAAATGCATTTTAATAATAGAACAATTCGTAATGAGCAAACGTTATCTTGATATATGATGGACTCTAAACCTATTATAAATGCACTGGATTTTATAATATAGAAAACGTGGTAATCGATATTATAACAAAAAGTAAGGTTTTATTAAGCATATTTTTAGTTGTATGAAAAACATCAAAACAACACTTTACACGAAATAGTTCTACGAAAGTAAGGTTTTATTAAGCATATTTTTTTAGTTGTATGAAAAACATCAAAACAACACTACACGAAATAGTTTTAGGAGGGTGAAATGAGTGGAAATGTAGAGGTTTTTAGTGAAAATTTTCTTCTTTAAATTTAATTTGCAGTATATATAATTAAACAGTAGTAAAAGAGATCACGAGAATGAATAAAATTAGACAAAAAATGCAAGAAAATCTTTAAGGAATAAAAAAATGTAAAATCAACGTCGATCCAAACATAAATAAAAGAAGTCCTAAATAAAAATGGCAAAAAAGCCTCAAAAATTATAAAGGCAAAACAGGTGTTCACATATCACTGACTCTCCAGAAGATAATCTAATTCCGATGTTGAACTTTGTTTCATGGGTTGATTCTTTCTTATGATTCTAAGTCAATAAGAGCCCATGCCAAACTTGGTTTACTGCTCGTATTTGGTCAACTGTAAAATTACAGGATACTCAACCAGTCAACCTTATACAAATTTACATTAAGTACGATTGATCATCCATAAACTGTTGAGTCATTTGTAGAAGAACCGATGAATAAAATTAAAAAAAAAAACAGAAAATGCCTCTAAACAACACGGAACGAAGTAGCTATCCTCTTCAGATCCTTGTAGTATCTCTTCCATTGAAGCCCTGTAGCACCAAACATAAGCAATCCAATTATGTGTAAAACCACCAAAAATGTTCACCGTGTCATTGAATCTCTGACTAGAAGAGTGATTTTGACTCACCGTTGCCGGTGACACTGAACAAGTAAAGGCGGTTTCCGGCAGCTGTTGCGGTGATCAGTACATGAGGCGGCTCTAGCTCGAACTGGTAATAGAGTCTCCCATCGTGTTCTGCTACATTTGAACTTAACACTTTCCCTTCCACGTTTTCTCCAATAACTTCCGGTCCAAATGCGTTGATCACCTTCTCTGGTGGTCCAATATTTTCAATCTTTGCGTCTTCCCCAAGATCTGTCGAACAATATCATGTAAGTAGAACACACAAACAGAACCAGACCTGCATTGCATTGCTTCCAACTCAAAAGACTAATACTTTGATGAATCTTTCAATAGCAGAGATACTGAATATACCACTTACTATCTGCAAATCTTAGAACGGGAGCGACAATAACAGACAAGCGGCCTTCTTTAGGATTAGCAAATCTCAAGTCAATCTCGGTGCCACCAAGATCAGCGATCGATACAGGTACCTATCGATTATAACAATGGAGAAAGAAAGAATCTCAAGATATGACTAAAACAAACAACATAGCAAGGAAGAGAGAGACAAGAACCGAGTCACGGAACCTCGTTCCAATCTTGAGGAACCGAAAAGGAGTAAGGGATAATAGGACTCCAGCCAACGCCATGCCCTCCTGACTTCTCGTCTGGTCTACGGTATGTTCTCCAACCTGTCTGAGCATTACAATTACATTTTCACCAACGACTAGCTATCTAGTTTAATACATATACAACTCTCAGAGAACCAGCACCATCAATGTCCAAAGCTTTAACATTTACGAATCTTTTATCATACTTTTGACTATCTACATATAAAAATCCAGTTTTCATACACTTAAGTTAACAAAGTTTATCATACTCCGAACGGATTATAGTTCTTCATATACATAGGATACAACTCCCAACCAGGACCATCAGTGTCCAAAGCCTATACATTTATGCATCTATGATCAAACTTAAATCTTTGACTATCTATCTATATGTTACAAATGCAATCTCAATATACATACACCTAATTAAAAAAAAAAAATTAATCTTTAGGTTGCGTTTTCACAATCTAACCAATTATTGTTCTTCTTGTTTATGGATATTCAAGCAAATCCAGAAGAAGACGAAGAGTGAAACGAACCTTCATCATCAGGTTCGGACAGACCAGGAACTCTTCCGGCGAGAAGACCCTGTTTGACGACGGCGAATCCTTCCCCTGGAAACCCTAAAGCCGTCGAAGAGACCAACGAGAACCCAGAAGCCGTCGCTAAAATCGATCTTCTACTCAAAACTCTAGCACACCACTCGTCTTCGCGTCCTCCCGGGATTGATTTCGGTCTTGGAATCTCGCCGTCGATTCTGTGATGAGCGGCGACTTTCTTGTGGTGGGGATGACCGGAAAAACTGACGCAGTACCGGAGCAGAGCTGTCTCCATCATTCGTCTGATTTCGAACCAAACGAATCCGAGAAATGGCGTTTGATCAGCAGATGGTGGCTCATACCCGACTTGGTTTTGTGATAGATACTCATCGTTTTCTAGCCTCACACGTGGCACCACCGTGTAATCTGAGGATGAAATTATTCCATTTTTGAAGATTCTCGTGGAATGTGTAAAAACCCTTTTTTAAGTGTTGAAACTACTACTCAACCAAATCTAGCTGCTCTGTTCTTGAACTTTTTTCATTTCATCTTGAAATTTTTACCTGTAAAGTTGAAGGAAACAGAGATATTATTCAGTCTTCATCTAAATCAAACAAAAATCAAGCTTCTCTCCGCCTGGTAAAAACACCGTTCGCCTTTTTATAAAAAAGATCATGTCTTTATAATGAATTTATTGTTTAAGCAGTTTAGTGTTTTCTTCCTCTGTTTCCTTTGTGTCAAAAGACAACACAGTGAGACCACAATCAATGGAACAGGAGCATTAATCGAAACAGTCTATGTTGTAATCTTTCTTGTCTTTGCTCCTACGATGGAGAAAGCTAAAATCTTTGGCATTTTCACATGAGTCCTTACCATTTTCTCCAAAGTCGCTCTTGTCTCTCTCTTAGCCCTCCATTGGAAACTCAAGGAAGCTAGCATGTTACAGCCACCATTTTCTCCATCATCATGTACGCTTCTCCACTCGTTATCAGTCTATCATGGTAAGTGAAGAATTACAGAAAAACGTTCCTCAACTGATTTCTCCCCAAAATGTTGTTAGATATCGTTTGGTGGTGACGTGATTTCAGAGATGTGTATTTAAGACAAAGAGCGTAGTGTACATGCCATTCTTCTTGTCCCTTTTGGCTTGTTTCTCTGCGGAACATTGTGGGTTTGTCTATGGCCTCATTGGGAGGGATCATTAGTTTCAGTAAGTTAGTAAGTTCCCTTCTTGTGACTTACTTGGGATGGAAGCAAGGCTTTTGTATTGAGTTTTAATTTTTTCTTACAGATCCCAAATGGATTCGGGTGTGCATTATGAAACAACAAAGGCGAGGAAACCGAAAAGATAAACAAAATGTGGCCATTGCCAATGGAAAAGCAGAGGAACATGTCCTGATAATTGCTCTAATATGTAAAAGATTATTTTTGATGATGAGATGTCCTGATAATTGGATGTTGTGGTCCCAAATTTTCTGACAAGAAAAAGACATAACACATTCATCACGTATACAGGAGCTCAAATAAATCTCACTATTCACTTATGCAACAAGAAAACGGTACAAACTTAACCGCTTCTAACCGCGTAATAATGGCTAACCAATCAAATTATTTATTCCCAAGTAATTCAAGTTGCATCAATCGAGCTTAGATGGTTAACACTTTTGGAATAAAGTCAAGACAGATCGCCTAACGACCTAACCAACTGAGCTAAATCAGCTCTCAATCAAATTATTGGTTCATTTTAGATTCCGGTTTACTCAAGAACGATAGGATAAGAGTGACCAAGATAACCACGCGCTGTCTATCAAAGTCAAAAGCGCGTGGGTTCTGTCTACGTGAACCAAACCTCAGCTTTTGGTCCATTAATCGGCCTCGGTTTTCTCGTCTCCCTTCTCCAATTAAACGGCTTTGATAAGAAAGAGAGAGAGCGAGAGACAGAGAAGAAAGACTTATCGAGCTTGGATTCGAAGAATGTCGATGCTCATGGCGCTCAAAACCACTTCCCTTTGCAGCACCTTAAACCTGACTCCTTCACCTAGAATCCAGACGAATCCTCGCGCGGCGAGATCGGTGAATCCGACGGCGAGAATCCAAACACGTATCCATCGTCTGATTGAAGACCAAGGCATTGTCCTTATGCCTGGATGCTACGACGCCTTATCGGCCGCCATCGTCCAACAGACCGGATTCTCCGCCGGTTTTATCTCCGGTTACGCTCTCTCCGCTTCTTTATTGGGAAAACCCGATTTCGGTTTGCTAACGTGCGCCGCCAGTGACTCTCTCACTCTCTCTCTCTTTATTTTTTTTTGTTTGTTTCTACGCTGTCGTTTTATTGGTTTTCTTTTGTCGTTTTAGACCGCCGGAGATGGCTGCGACGGCGAGGTCGGTGTGTGCGTCAGCTCCAAATATACCCATCATTGCAGATGCCGGTAAAGTTTCGATTTTGGTAAAGTTTCGATTTTGGTTGTAAACTTACTCGATCGATCAAAATGGTCAAAGAAATTGCTATGAACGCAAGTAACATAGCAAAAGCTTGTTGATTTTTTGATTAAGAGCATGGCTGACACGAAATCATCAATCTTTCTCTTGCTTATTATAGTTTATTGATAGCTCTTTGAATTGTATCCAGAACTCTTATCTTAGGTGATTCTCTAGCTTTCGTTTGATCTGATTCAGATACCGGTGGAGGAAATGCGCTAAACGTTCAAAGAACTGTAAAGGACTTGATCGCAGCTGGTGCTGCTGGTTGCTTCCTTGAGGTAAAACTTGGCCTCAGGTTCTTTGATCAATTTTTTCTATCTCGGAATTGTTCAATGCTCTTTTAGTCTTGTCTATTTCAGTTTACTTGTTGATTTAACAATTTGTTGGTTATTCTTCTTAGGACCAAGCATGGCCAAAGAAATGCGGTAAGTGTCAAGTGTGACATCTTCTTCTTCGACTTCGAAGTCACTGTTAAATGTTTTTATGATCTGACTGGCTTTTCGTGTAGGTCACATGCGCGGCAAACAGGTTATATCAGCAGAAGAACATGCAGCCAAGATAGCATCAGCCAGAGACGCTATTGGAGATTCCGACTTCTTTCTTGTCGCAAGAACAGACGTGCGTGCTACTTCTGCAAAATCAGGTCTTGAAGACGCCATTGCGCGAGTTAATCTCTACATGGAGGTAACAAATCATTATAAAAGAAATAAACAAAGAAATTTTGTGTCAAATATTAAACTAAACAGATTTTGTTGTAATTGTGAAGGCTGGAGCGGATGCTTCCTTTGTGGAGGCTCCGAGAGATGATGATGAGCTCAAGGAAATCGGAAAACGTACAAAGGGTTACAGAGTTTGCAACATGATTGAAGGTGGAGTCACGCCATTGCACACCCCTGAGGAGCTTAAAGAAATGGGTTTTCACTTGATCGTTCACCCTCTAACCGCACTCTATGCATCCACTCGAGCTTTGGTCGATGTACTCAAGACTCTTAAAGAAAACGGAAGCACTCGAGATCACTTGGAAAAGATGGCTACCTTTGAGGAATTCAATACTTTGGTGGATTTAGAGTCATGGTTTGAGCTTGAAGCTCGCTACTCAAACCTTAGGAACGCTCTTGGGACAACAAAATCATGAAGAGGCTACGACACAGACGCAAGTTTCTCCTTTTTTTTTTTAACTCTCTCAAGCTTAAATTTGTTTCCTATTTTTTGTTCAGACGATTATTTGAGCAATGGTCTCATCAATAATGTAACTTTTTCAGTCGTAAAGAAATTCGTATTTCCAATTTAGCAGAATAACCATCTATAATGAACAATGTCCTGAGCAAAATAAGCGATCTCCATGCTGATGTAATTATTGATGATTTAGATTCGCTGTTAATTTAATAAAATCAGAGCAGCGTAATGGTGGGCCTCAATTGTGGTAAGCAGAGGCCCAAAAGAAACTTTAGCCCAGGAAAGGGTTTTTGTGTGTCTTCTCTTTTCGTTAAACCCTAAACCTAAAAATAGTTGAAAATCTAAATCATCTTCTTGGCTTAGAAAACCTAAAATTTGGGGATTCTCTGCAAGTAGCACAGCCTGCAAATCCTCAGAAGCGGCCCTGATCTCTGGTAATCTAGATTCACCATGGTTGCAGGAAATGGGTTCCTGGTGAGCTCAGTCACTGAGCTTCACCGGAAAGAGAAACAGAAGAAGAAAGGCAAATCTGGAGGGTTCGAGTCTCTAAACCTCGGTCCTAATGTGTTCAATGCAATCAAGAAGAAAGGATACAAAGTTCCTACACCGATCCAGCGAAAGACGATGCCGCTCATTCTCTCCGGCGTCGACGTCGTCGCCATGGCGCGAACCGGTTCCGGTAAAACCGCGGCTTTTCTCATCCCTATGCTGGAGAAACTCAAACAACACGTGCCCCAGGGAGGTGTTAGGGCGCTCATCTTATCTCCTACTCGTGACTTGGCCGAGCAGACTCTGAAGTTCGCTAAGGAACTCGGAAAGTTTACAGGTTGGTAATTTCAGGACTCCATTTGATTCAATCGTGAAAGGGGGATTGCTTCCGTCTGATCAGTTCAACTTTAACCTAATTTCAATCTAAAAACATTTGTTTCTACACTTTTGATTCCTTTATTGGTTACAGATCTTCGTGTTGCCTTACTGGTTGGTGGAGATAGCATGCAACTCCAGTTTGGGGAGTTAACAAAGAGCCCTGATGTCATTATTGCAACTCCTGGGAGACTTATGCATCTTTTGGATGAGGTAGATGACATGACACTTAGGACGGTTGAGTATGTGGTCTTTGATGAGGCAGACAGTCTGTTTGGTATGGGTTTTGCCGAGCAGTTGCATCAGATTCTAGCTCAGCTAAGTGAGAACAGGCAGACTTTGCTTTTTAGTGCCACCTTACCAAGTGCACTTGCAGAATTTGCAAAGGCTGGTTTGCGCGAGCCTCAGCTTGTTCGGCTTGATGTTGAGAACAAGATAAGCCCGGATTTGAAGCTTTCTTTTTTAACCTTACGACCCGAAGAGAAGTATGCTGCATTGATATACTTGGTGAGGGAGCATATAAGTTCAGATCAACAGACCTTGATATTTGTCTCCACAAAGCATCACGTGGAATTCGTCAACTCACTGTTTAAGTTGGAAAATATTGAGCCATCTGTATGTTATGGTGATATGGATCAAGACGCACGCAAGATTCACGTGTCAAGATTCAGAGCGAGGAAGACTATGTTGTTGATTGTGACAGATATTGCTGCTAGAGGTATTGACATACCATTGCTTGATAATGTTATAAACTGGGATTTCCCTCCGAGACCGAAGATTTTTGTCCATCGGGTGGGAAGAGCTGCTAGGGCTGGTCGTACAGGTTCTGCGTATTCCTTTGTTACACCTGAGGATATGCCATATCTGTTAGATCTTCATCTGTTCCTCTCAAAGCCGATCAGGCCTGCACCCACTGAGGATGAGGTCTTGAAGAACATGGAAGAAGTAATGAACAGAACTAGCCAAGCAATTGATAGTGGAGTAACTGTTTATGGTCGTTTCCCACAGAAAACCATTGATCTTATTTTTAACAAAATCCAAGAGATGATCGATTCATCTGCAGAGTTAGAGTCCCTTGAAAGAACATCCAAAAAAGCTTTTCGCTTGTATACAAAAACAAAACCCTCACCGTCAAAAGAGTCAATTAGAAGAGCAAAGGATTTGCCCCGAGAAGGCTTGCATCCCATCTTTAGAGGCATAATCGAAGGTGGGGAGTTAGAGGCAATGGCATTTTTTCAGAAAATTAAAAATTTCAGGTGAGTAATAGAATTTCCTTTGGTCATCCATCTCCTTGATATGACCAGGCTTGAAGATGGTCTTTCCATGTGATTAATTATAATGATGGCTGATCTGTGATAGACCCAAGCAGACAATACTTGAAGCGGAAGGTGAAGCTGCCAAATCCAAAAATGTGAAGGTGATCCTTTTTTTCTGCCATCTTTTATTTTCTCTGGTTTGTTGGACTATTTTACTATTTATATGATCATATCGTCGCTTCCAGAAACCATACTTGGCTTATGTCTCACTTGTATAATTCTGCTATTTGTTTGTAAGTAGCCGAAGCCATAATGGTTTGGTTCTTGTGCAGGGTCCTCCTGGGCAATGGGTTGATGTGATGAAGAAAAAAAGGGCCATTCATGAGAACATCATTAATACGAGACATCAGCAAAATCTTAAGAGTTCCAATAATCATTTGGAGATGGTAATCTTGTACAATTTCTAATACTAAGTTTTGATGTACTCATTTCTGCCATTAGTTTCACTCACATAAGTGTTTTGGTATCTAGGAAGCTGAACCTACTACCACTTTTGACGAGGACAAGATATCAGGAAGCAAATGTATGCGTGCTGCTTGTGCTCTTGTTCCTTCAGTTTCGGTGTTAAAGTCCTTTATTGTTGATCTTGTGAATAGTTTTATCTGTGGTGCGTGGTTGGTGTAATGAACTCTCCTTTGATTCCAGTTGGCGGTAAGAAAAGGAAGGCACAACAAAGCTTCAAGGACGAAGAATTCTATATCAGCTCTATACCAGTAAATCATGTATGTTTTTTCGTGAAGTAAACATTTTCGTTGTCATACGCATTAGCTGTCAAAGCTACAATGCTAATGATCATTTTGTTTATTCTACTGATATTGAGATGATGCAGAGTTTGACTATTTCTTACTTTTTATGCACGCAGCATTCAGAGGCAGGGCTATCTGTGAGGGGTAATGAAGGGTTTGGATCAAATAGGTAAAAAATATTTTCATGGGACTTTTTGTGGCGTTCAAATCTTGTAATTCTTTTTCGGGTTTATATTGACATGCCTTATCTCCTTGTAGGTTGGACGCTGCTGTTTTAGATCTAGTTGCAGACGATGGCCAGGGCATGAAGCAGCAAAAAACAAATTATCACTGGGACAAGGTAAAGAGTTGGATTACATCATAACAATGGCCCAAACTGTAATCTTTTAAAACAAAAAAAAAAAAAACTGGATTTTTCTTTGATGACAGAAAAGTAAGAAGTACATCAAGTTGAACAATGGAGATCGCGTAACAGCCAGTGGAAAGGTAGTAGTAGTACCCTGATCACAAAATAAGAAATTTTTCTTTTGGTTAAAGAATGTTTTTTTGATGATTCTGAGAAATGCTAACATAAGTCTGTTGTAACTAAACAGATAAAGACAGAGAGTGGACATAAAGTGAGAGCAAAGAAGACAGGGATATACAAGAAATGGAAAGAGACGTCTCACAAGAAAGTATTCGGCCAAGAGGATGGTGATGCAGACGATAGGAGAAGCATGCCAGGTATGTTGTTCAACTTTTTCACTTTCAAGTTCATCGTTTTGACAGCTTCCGAGTCGTCAGTAGGTCTGACGAGAAACTTGGCAGCAGGTAGAGATGGCCGAGGCGGCAGAAGTGGGAAAAGATTGCAAGGATCAGTGCCTAACGCGCATGTGCGTTCAGAGATCAAAGATCTGGAGCAAGTGCGCAAGGAGAGGCAGCAAAAGGCGAACAAAGTGTCTTATCTGCATAGCAAGAGAGGTGGCCGAGGCGGCGGGGCCAGGGGAGGTCGAGGTGGTAGCAGCAGGGAATTTGGTAGTGGTGGAAGCGGGAGGGATTTTGGCAGTAGAAGTAGTAGAGGCGGAAGAGGTGGTCGTGCTGGCGGCGGAGATTTTGGCAGTCGCCGGGGTGGTAGTAGCAGAGGTGGTAAGAGAGGAGGAGGGGGAGGAGGAAGAGGTGGTGGAGGGAAACGAGGGAGGGGCAGATAGCCGTGAAGACTCTTTTGACTCGTCAAAACTTATGAGCTTAAGGCAACTATTTATTTTCAAAATGTTACATCACTCAAATTTTGTGCAACACTGTTGTATCCTCGTTTGTTTTCTCCAATTTTTGTTTTTCTCTAATAGCAGTTGTCAAAAACAGAAAAAACGATAATTGACAATAAACAAGAATCAGCCGTTTGTTCATCCATAGCGATAAATGAATGACGCTGTATTTATATTTATGATTCATGGTTTTGTGTTTGCAGATAAATAATGGTAACAAAACCAAATGACCAAAAAGGTTGTATGGTGTAGTGGTTAGCACTCTGGACTTTGAATCCAGCGACCTGGGTTCGACTCCCGGTATGACCTTAATAATTTTTTTTTGATTTTTTTTTTTGTTTCTGTTTATTCCCTTTTGCTAAATGATGAAAGTGTATACCCATTGAGGTGTTAATGCATGAATCTCTCAATCTTCTTTTTCTTCAACGTTCAACAATCCATGGAAAAATAAATGGCTTTTGCTTGATGATTAATATCAACAATTATTTTGCAATGAAATAATAGAAAAAGGAGGCATGAAACGAATGATGGAAAGCACTAAGTGGACAGTTAAAAAGAGAGAGTGAAAGTATAGCTCCCCGCTCAAAAGCGGCGCAAATTAGTTTATTGGAAAAGAAAGTGCATAACTGTAAAGCCAATCTCTTTTTTTGCTTCTTCAAGCAGATCACACCTTCTCTTGTGTCAACTTCTTCTTCCCCACATCTCCTAAAAGCTTCACACACTGGACTAAACCAAGCCTTTCCTTTTTTTTCTTTTTCTTATCTACTCAAAAATTACGTTTTTTTCTTCTTCTTGTAACTCTCTCAATTCTCTCTTCCTTTTGATCCGATCATGGTGAAGGAAACAGTGTACTATGATGTTCTTGGTATCACTCCCTCTGCTTCCGAGGAAGAGATTCGCAAGGCTTACTACATCAAGGTTTTTTTTTTTATTATTATTTCAGAGTTTTCTTAGAATTGTGCAGTTTTCTCTGTTTTTGGAGGACTGACTCTTAAATCTTTAGGCAAGACAAGTTCATCCAGATAAGAATCCAGGTGATCCTTTGGCTGCTGAAAAATTCCAGGCAAGTTCTTTTTTAATGTCATCTACGTTTTTTTTTTTTCGTTTACATTTTGATTCTGATCAAATCAAGAGTTTTCTTCTTTGAGGCAGGTTCTAGGTGAAGCTTACCAGGTCCTGAGTGATCCTGTTCATCGTGAAGCGTATGATCGAACTGGAAAATTCTCAGCTCCCAAGTAATGTTTTCTTCTATTTTGATAAAAAAAAAATGTGTTTGTGTTTTTCCCTTCTTTCTCTAAGAATCTTTAATGGTTTGATCAACCAGAGAAACTATGGTTGATCCAACGGCTGTTTTCGCTCTTCTCTTTGGAAGTGAACTATTTGAGGACTATATTGGTCACTTGGCTGTTGCATCAATGGCTTCCACTCAAATGGCTTCTGAAATCGAAAATCCTGATCAGATTCATGAAAAACTAAAGGCAAATCAAACTCATAATATATTATAACTGTGTACATCCATCTTCTGATCTGAATCTTACATAAAGAAAGATCATTCTTTTTTTTTTGCAGGCTGTTCAGAGAGAAAGAGAAGAAAACCTTGCGAGGTTTCTGAAAGATTTTCTAAACCAATACGTCCATGGAGACAAAGAAGGTTTCAGGCATCGCGCTGAATCTGAAGCCAAGAGACTCTCAGATGCAGGCATTGTCTCTTTCTTTTGTGTGATTCACTAGTTAATAACACAAAACATTTCTTTACATTCTGAATAGAAGTCTTATAAATTAACTTGTTAAAGCTTTTGGAGCGGATATGTTACATACAATTGGATATGTATACACAAGACAAGCAGCTCAAGAACTTGGGAAGAGAGTTCTTTACTTAGGAGTTCCTTTTGTAGCTGAATGGGTTAGGAACAAAGGGCATTCTTGGAAATCACAGATCAGTGCAGCCAAAGGAGCTTTTCAGTTACTTCAGCTGCAAGAAGAGAGCAACCGGAGATTAAAGAGAGACGGGACTGGTCCAGCGAATGACTTGGAGTCTCATATTCAGACAAACAAAGAAACACTTATGGGATCTCTGTGGAAACTCAATGTAGTTGACATTGAGGTAACTCTGTTACATGTGTGTCAGATGGTGAGTTCTTTTGGAATCTTCTGTTGCTTATTTTCCTTAGATTTCATGACACAAGATATGATGATTCTTGAGGAAACAAAACTGGTTTAGGTATTGCGCGAGAACAATCTGAGAAAGGAGGAGCTTAAGTCTCGAGCAGTGGCTCTCAAGATTCTTGGGAAGATTTTCCAGGTTTTTTCAATAACATAATCATATCACATTATCTTATCTGTTTTTGTTTCTTGTGCTGATTCAAGATTGTTGTGGTTTGTGCAGCAAGAAAAGCAATCGAGGAACGGTGCAACATCAAGAAGAGATGATGAAGACAGCAGCGACGACGATGACAGTAGCAGCGATGACGATTCTTCACAACCACTTTCATACAGAACTCCTCTGCTCACTCAGGTTAAAGTTCATACTTTTCAACTCATTCTATGATGATACTGTAAATTGATAGACTGAGATTATTGAATGGACATTTTTACAGGGGATTGGTAGACTCTTTAGATGTCTCTGCAATCCGGCATTTGATGTAGACGATGATGAAATCGTATACAAAGGCAAATGATCCCTACACCACATTCACATTGCAATTGATGGTCTGACATGTGAATGTGTGATGCAGCCACTAAGTTATTTATTCTTTATAAACAATATATATTTGTAATGATGATGACCGATGGCTCAAACTTAACAATTTGTTAAAATAAGTACCAAAAAGAAACAAAAATCCACTGTTTGTAATCATTACAAGATTGCTATAATGTTTTGTTGTAAGTTTACCATAAAAAGTTCAGCAATATTTAACAATCAGCCCAACTAGAACCTGGATTCTTTTTTATATGCTTTTCTCTCATCAGTTTTCTTACAAGTGCCGAGCTTTCCCAATCTCCAGAGTTTGCAAATATGGTGGACAACTGCACATAAGCAACTGAGTTCTCAGGTTCGAGCTCTATAATCTTCTCAGCAACTTTCTTCCCCATTGCTTTATATCCATTAGCTACACATCCTCTTAGAACAGATGACCACATGCTTGCATCGGCATCGAAAGGCATCTCTTCTACAAGAGCTATGGCTTCTTCAAGATAACCAGCACGAGCCAAAAGGTCGATCATACATGAAAAGTGCTCTCTGTCTGGAACAAAACCATTATCCAACTTCATTGCCGCAAACAATTTCCTTCCCTCTTCCACTAAACCACAGTAATTACACGCTGTTAGAACACCCATAAAGGTGATCCGAGTGGGTCTTATACCAGAAACATACATCTTCTTGAACAAATCAATCGCTTCAAATCCATAACCATTCGTAGCATAACCTGATATCATCGAGTTCCATGGTATTTCATCTGATTTTACCATTGTGTCAAATACTCTCCTGGCATCCTCCACAGATCCACACTTGCAGTAGAGGTCAATGAGAGAGGATGATACTATTTGATCAGAGTCAAGTCCAACAATAGTAGCCCTAGCAAAAACCTGCTCACCAAGTTCCAGAGATGAAATGCTTGCACACGCACTAATGACACTGGAGAGGCTAAACTTATCTGTAGCCAAATCCAGCTTGTGCATTTGGTGGAAATACTCTAAAGTTTCAACTGGACAACCATTTTGACTGAATCCTACAGTCATTGAGTTCCACGAAATCAAACTCTTATCTTCAATTCTCTCAAACACCCGTTTTGCATCTTCGATTCTTCCACAGCTGAAATATACCTTGATCATAGAGTTCAGTAAAATCGTGTCATAGGTTTTGACCTCACTGAAAATCTTGCAAGCTTCCACTGGGCTTCCACACATTGAGTACATGTCAAGCAATGTGCTAGCTACAACAGTGTCATCAACTAACCCAAATTTATAAGCATGACCGTGCATTTGTTTACCAGTCTCTAGGATACTCACACCGCCGCAAGCATTTATAACGAGTGCCAGCGTACGAGAGTCTTCCCTTGCTTCATTTCTCATCTCATTGAAAAGAAGCAATGCCTTCGTTTCCATATTGTTGGCAACATAACCCGAAATCATAGAGTTCCATAGAAAGACACATCTGTTACGTTTCCTATCGAAAAGTCTTCTAGACTCATTCACTTTCCCACAGCTTGCATAACCTAGAATTAGGGCAGAGAGAGAATGGTCGTCAGGTTCCCCAATCTGATCCACCAAATTGCTAGCCATTCTCAAATCACCACACTTTGCATACATATTAACCAAAGAACTATTCATTACCGTGTCATATTCAACACCACCGATGAGAATCCGAGCATGTATCTGCTTCCCGCATTTCAAAGCTTCCAACTTGGCACAAGCCCCAAGAAGTGTCGTCATTGTGATCACATCAACGCTTAATTTCAATTCCTTAAACAGCCTCAGAGCTTCCTCGGCATAACCATTTAGGCTGTATCCATGAAGCAGAGAGTTCAACGTCACAACATCTTTTTCCGGCATGGCGTCGAATAACCTCCTGGCAACAACTAGCTCACCGGCCTTAGCAAACCCGGAAACAACCACGTTCCAAGAGTACCCATCTCTCTCTGGCATCATATCAAACAGCTTCAAAGAAGTTCCTTTATCCCCAAGCTTCATATACCCTTCGATCATGGTGTTCCACGAGAAAAAGTTTCTCTCAGGCATTTCGTCGAACAGTTTCCGTGCAGTTCCCATCCTGCCACACCGCGAGTATATCTGGAGTAGATGATTAGCGAAAATGACAACTGAGCAAAGGAAACCCTTTTTGAGGAACAATCCGTGGGTTTGTCTCCATAGAGTTTCTCGATTTCTCTCGCTGCATGACTGAAGAAGACTGACGTAATGACGCCGAAATTTTCCTTCCATTCCATGTGTAGGAGAAAAGTACCAAAATTTAACGGCTATGTATATATTCACATAAGCCGCCTGAATATTTAACACAGGAGATTTTAAGACCTGAGAAAATTCTTAAAAAGAGAACACTTTTTTCTTTTTCTTTAAAGTTGTGTTTTTTAAGACCTGAGTATATTCATATTAGGATTTTTTTTTAAGTTGTACCCACGTGGTTTTTTTCTTCTTTTTTCAATCTTTAACATGTACATTTAGGGAGATTTATATTCTTGATTGTATACAAATTCAATACCACATTGTAATTTGATTCTCACATGAGAATTAGCATCTTCTTATTTTCTGAGTTGTTCATCATTTTATGATGATGATTGATGGATCCAACTTAACGAATTGTTAAAAGTAACTACACTTTGTAATCATTTCAAGGTTTGCTATAATGTAAAGATTGCATGATCAAAGACAGGAAGACAAAACTCAAACAAACAAGCTTTATTTCACCTTAAAAGCTTATCTGTACACACACCTGCAGGGAGAGACCCTCTGGCTCACACTGATTCAATGAGCCGGGTGAGGAAAAGCAGTGTGGGTGTGAGCACGGTGAGCCTGGAGGATGCAGGCACAGTGAACTGATGTTAGATTCAGACAACCGCTCATGACGAGGGAATGCCTGCCTGAACAAGTGTGGAGCGCAGGGAATGTATCGCAGACGGCTTGAACAGCAGAAGGTGTGAGGTAAGTGCATTGGCTAATGTTAAGGCTTCTTAGTCCTTGTTCATCGAATTTGCCTTTCTTAACCGAGCGCCACATCTCGTGCTTGTTCTTCACTCCGCTCTGAGCCAGCGAGTACATTGCCCTGTCCGTAATGTTTCTGCAATAGTATAAACCCAATGACCTCAAATGTACACACCTATTCGCCAAAGCCACCACACTCTCATCTGCAACAACAACAAAACATGTTAAAGAGGGTAAAGAAAATTCTGATTTGGATTTCGTAAAAGTCTTGAACTTTCATGAGGTTTACCTGTAATTAGAACACAGCCACAGAGATCAAGGCTTCGTAGATCAGGACAGCCATAGGCTAAATTCATGACTCCATCATCACTTATATTCTCACACCATCCCAAGTTTAGTGACTGCATTTGATTGCAGTTTTCTCCAATTGCCTGCATAAATTTTCCGATTCGGTTATTAATACAAAGAACATACAAGGGCTGATGATAGTATAGGGATTTGGATGTCATAAGGCACCTGCAACGCATTGTCAGATACAGCTTCCACACAACCACAAAGATTCAGAATTTTGAGCTTCCTGCAAAATCTTGTCAAATACGCGAGTGCAGTGTCGCTGAATGAAGTGCAGCCGCTAAGGTTGAGTTTAGTGAGGTTAGTGCAACCGCGAGCCAGAGAATAGAGGGAACAGTCAGTAAGTTTCAAGCTTTTGCTTAGGTCAAGATCTTGTAGCTCGGGGCAGTGGTTTGCTATAGCTTCCACTGCGTTGTCCTCAAGTTGCGGTTTGTCCTGTCGCAGAACTAAAGTCTGAAGCTTGACGAATTTGGGAGCAAGAGACAGAACCAAACCGTTCATATTCTTCTTGCACCTGAAGAACAAACAAGTAGACATAAAATCAAATCTTCCTAGTTTTTCTTGCTAGTTATACAAATTGGAATCTTGGAAACTGAAACCATCATCAAGAAACTGTCCTCATAGCAGAATATGATCAATCATCAAAAAAAAAAAGGTTTGATTCTTTCAGTCACATGATCTTATCAATTTTATCATCCATCAATCTAAAATTAACGTCCTCAACTGAAGCCAAAAAGACTTAGCCTTTGCTTTCTATTGAAAAAACCAGTCTAATAATAACCAACATAACACTTTTTTTTCACATATCAGTAATCTTCTAAATCAAACATCATCTACACAATCACAGCAGACACAGAACACACAGACAATGAAACAAAGACAAAAGGAGCTAATCATACCAAGAGAGAGAGAGACGAGTGAGGCCAAAGGAAATAGCATCTCTCCAGCCACTGCAAACACCAGAAGCAATGATCACCGTCCGATCATCTACAAGGTTAAGGATCCTCATCAGAAGCTCCAGTGGTATGTCTTTCCACTCAGTGATCATGATTCCTTCCATTTTCATCTCCTTCATCTTCTCGAAGCATCGGCTAAGTTCCCTTGTTCCTGCTCCTCCTTCACTCATCACCATCTTTTAATACTTTTAAGCGGTTTCTTGATTCTACCACCTCAAAGGAAATACAGGAATTAGAACAGAGAGAGAGAGAGAGAGAGATGATAATAAATATCTCTGAATTAGAACCTCGAAAGACGACAAATGTAGGAGATAATTATGAAACTGAAATACTTAATTAGTAAAAAGCAACTAAACATTAATGTATCTGCGTAACTCTTTTTTCACAATTTATCCCAAAAAAAAAAACTCTTTTTAGCATAAAAACAAAAGAAACGATTTAGCGCTTTAATTACCTAAGATATCGTCTGCGAGTTAACGATTTCTTATCACTAAACGTAGAGATGCAAAGTTTTTGTTTCCAGGGTAGCTGAGGAAATTCAAAGTTTCTTCTTTTACTAGCCAGATTTTTCCAGAAAGTGGTAGAATTTTATCTGTAATCTCTAATTACAATTGAAAAAAAAAAAGACAAAATTAAAGGAGAATTTCGATTGACTAGTGTAGGACCAGATGCTTTTTTTGCGCACTTCGTTTTCTATGCAGCAGAAACATAAATCTTCTCACTTTAGAGTAAAAAGATTGAAAACTTTGCACTTTTTCGGATCATACCTCTGAAATTAGTGTTCTTTGTGCCTCTTTCTGGATTTCTCTTCTTTCGAATTATTAAAACTCCGTAAGTTCTTCAAATTATTAAAACCGTGGACACTCGTGAGGATGATAACGACAGGAGAAAAGTAAATTAAAAAAAAAGGAGTTTGTATATGAAAGAGAAAAGCAAAGAGTAAACAGACGTACGGGTAATGTGTATATGACACGTGATTAGCCACGTGTCGAAAACCGAACGGTGATGTGATTATATTATACAAATCATGAGCATAATTGTGATATGTAGGATTATAAAGCCCTGATTATATACAAATCGGAATCATAATTGTAGTCATACGTGTGATTATACAAGTTGTAATATCTTGATTCCAAAAAATCATAGTTTTATGTAATTACACGAAAAGTTACGGGAACACACAAGAGAAGATATCTAATTTGAAATGGTTAATATATAAGTATTATATAGACCTCTTTTTTTAGCAAAGTATTATATATACTTATATTTTGAAAAGGGGTGGAGAAACTTTCTCTGATTCAAATCGAAGCCGAGTCGCATAATAAACTTAACATTTCTGAGGGAGACTTTGACCAGTCAACGGAAAATTTCCAATGATATTAATGTTTAGTTAAATTACGGATGTTAGGGAAAAGTAAGATGATGATATAAACCTTTTTTATGTCGATAGATGGGAAGCTCTTTCTTAGCATTAATAGAGATTATATTGTTGACAAAAAAAATAAATAGAGATTATATTATTATATGTTTTTTCGATCCCAATTGATGTTGAAGTGGAATATATTTGGGGTAAGGGATTTTTGTCGGAGTGTAATATTTGTCTATTATTAATAGTTGTTTCTTGCTCAAGTTTAGAATAATAGGGGCTGACGTGGACGTGGACGTGGAGGGCGATCAGAAGGCGATTTAAGGTTTTAGGTTTTTCCACCACGAAATGGAGCCGGCGGCCGCCGCAGGGGCCGGATCGGTGGGAGAAGAAGCACTGGAGAGGATGGAGATGACGAGAGAAAGCAAAGGGAGCTCTGGTGCAATGAAAGAAATTGTGGAGGCGGTATCTTTTGTAACTGAGAAGAATGATGAGGAGGACAAAATAGAGGTAAAGGACGTATCTCCGGGGAAGGAGATTGAAGAGGGTGAGATTGTTACACGCAAGGAATAATCCAACGAGTCGGTGGAGGTGAAAACGTCATGGGCTTCAGTCGTAGAAAACAAGGTAGAGATGTTTCACTACGACATGGAGGTTAAGGATATCGATGGGATTCCCACAGCAAAGATCCCGGAAAGTGTGTTTAAGGACTCACCACCACTCTGGGCAAATTTTCTGGTTGGAAAATTCCTTGCAGAGGCACCGTTCGTCGGGAAAATCCATGCTCTTGTCAACAGAATTTGGACGCTAGGGGACAAATCTGTTAAGATAGATGTGTACGTTGTAGATCGCACTACAGTGAGATTCAGAATCAATGATCCGATCACTAGAGCTCGGGTGTTAAGGAAAGGGTATGTGGAACTTGTGTGATGTACTTGTGGTGATCACAAAATGGAGTCCCTTGGAGGAGAAGAAACAAGCTGAACTTACATCCATTCCTCTATGGGTGTTAGTGAAAAGGGTTCCACCACATCTATTTACGTGGAAAGGTTTAAGCGCACTCACCAGCCCTCTTGGTAAGCCAAAGAAGTTGCATCCAGATACAGAAGCCTGTAGGAACTTGGAGGAGACGAAGGTATTTGTGGAAGTGAACCTCACAAAAGAGTTACCAAAACAGTTTTGATTTCAGTCCGACAACAATTCTGATGCGGTGGTGGAGTACATCTTTCCTTGGCTTCCACCAAGATGTGCTGGTTGCTCTAAATGGGGTCACTTAGTGAAGACATGTGATGTGAAGAGCTCTGCTGAGATAGCATCACTGGTTGAAAGACGACCGGTAGAAACGCGTACAGGAGAAGTTGAACCTCGACAAGTTTCTCCGGTTAAAGAAAAGTCAGGGTCAGCCCAGGCAGACATACCTGAGGCTCTAAAAATAACCGAACAAGCTAAAGTCAAAGCTGACGAGGAGGGTTGGATAACACCAACGAACCCTAGCCGAAGTCCAGGGAAAAAAGCTGAGCTTATGTATGGTGAGGTATCTATTCTGGCAAAGACAAGATTTGGGTGCTTAAGTGGGAAGGATGAAAATGGGGAACAAATAGATGATTTGTTAGAAAGAACAAAGGATGAGGTTGTCGAGGAAGGGATCCCAAGCAATGTTGTGGAGGTAGAGGAAGATGTGGCCCTGAAATCTACCGAGGATGTGGGCACACAAAACCCTGATCGTGCAGACTTGGTAGTAGAAAAGGTTGACAAGAAATTGGGACATAAGGGAGCTCCAGGTGACGTGGGTGGAGGATTGATATGTCAGTCTCTTCCGCGGCAATCGAAAGGCTCTCACAAATTTCTGGCAAACCAAAACGCAACGAATGCAAAGGGAAGCAATATCCCTGGTATTCGGGAAACATGTCACACTTCAAAAAACTGTTAATGTCTGGGTTCTTTTGGAACATCAGAGGTTTAAACAAAAAAAGTAAGCATCAAGTGGTTCGGGATTGGGTTATGAAGGGAAATTTTGATTTTGGCTGCATTATTGAAACAAAAGTTAAGGAAAACAAGGCAATGAGCATCTGCTCAAAGCTGTTTAGTGACTGGTCTTTGCTCACAAATTATGAAGATCATCGCTTGGGTCGACTTTGGGTGATTTGGCGGCAAAATGTGCGCATCACGCCTCTGTACAAATCTGCTCAGATGATAACAGTATCGGTGTTAGTGGAGGGAAGGAAAGAAGACTTCTTTGTCTCTTTTGTCTATGCATCGAATTTTGTGGAAGATAGAAAGCACTTGTGGGACGATATCAGATTTCATAACACTTCGCCTCTATTCCGAGGTAAAGCCTGGTTGATTGGGGGAGATTTTAACGAAATTTTAAGAGGAGACGAGCACTCGCAGTTTTCAACCTCGCCGTCTATACCTCCTGGCATGGGCGATTTTCAGGATTTGGTCAACACCTGTGAGCTTGTGGATTTGGCTTATCAGGGACAAACGTTTACCTGGTGTAATAAGAGAAGAGAGGGTTTGATTTGCAAGAAGCTTGATCGAGTTTTAGTTAACAAGGAATGGATTCACCAATATGACAGATCGTACAGTTTCTTCGAACCAGGAGGATGTTCCGACCATCTGCGATGTCGTTTCTACATCAAAGAGGCTGCCGGAAGGATCAAGAAACCATTTAAATACACTAACGTCACGTCTTTCCATCCGAATTTTCAAACTGAGGTTAAGAGAAAGTGGGATCTGTCGCCGCCTCTATTTGGTTCTACTCAAGCAATGTTCAGATTAACAAAAAAAACTCAAGCAGATGAAACCTCTCTGCAGAGGTCTGGGTCGGGATTTGGTAGCAGACATCTCGAAGAGGGTAAAGGAGGCTTTTTCGACCTTATGTGAGGCTCAAGGGAGAACTATGGAAAATCCGACGACCGTTGCAGTGGATATGGAAGCCAGAGCTCTTGAAAGATGGACTAGATTGGTGGAGCTAGAGGAGAGATTTCTTTGTCAAAAATCGAAATTGCATTGGCTGAGGATTGGAGATAAAAACAACAAAGTGTTTCACAATGCAGCCAAAACTCGTGAAGTAAGGAATAGTATCATAGAGATTAAGTGTGGCGATGGAAGCATGGTCACAACACAGGAAACAATAAAGGTGGATGCGGCTCGTTATTTTCATGAATTTCTCACTCAGAATGTTGCTGATTTTGAGGCATATAAAACAGAGGAACTTGGCGATTTGCTTGACTTTCGATGTGATGCAGAGGATGGTAATGCACTGGTCAAACCTGTTACGCGTGAAGAGATAACTAAGGTTCTATTCTCTATGCCCAGGAATAAAGCCCCTGGGCCTGATGGATTTACCTGCGAGTTCTTCCGGGATACTTGGTCGATTATAGGCGATGATATAGTCACAGCAGTACAGTTTTTTTTCACGCTGGGTTTCTTACCGAAATGTTTAAACTCAAAAATTCTAGCCCTGATTCCGAAAAAGAAAGAGGCTGTGGAAATGAAAGACTACAGGCCTATCTCGTGTTGCAATGTGCTCTACAAGATTATTTCAAAAATCTTAGCGAATCGTCTCAAGGATATCTTGCCCAAGTTCATTTCACCGAATCAATTTGCTTTTGTAAAGGACAGACTCTTGATGGAAAACGTCTTACTAGCTACAGAGCTTGTTAAAGACTATCATTTAAGCTCAGTTACCCCTCGATGCGCAATGAAAATCGATATTTCGAAAGCTTTTGATTCAGTCCAATGGGAATTCTTGTTGAACACGTTACAGGCTATGGCTTTCCCGGCTAAATTCATCCATTGGATTAAGCTTTGCATCTCGACAGCTTCGTTCTCGGTTCAAGTCAACGGGGAACTCACAGGATATTTTGGGAGTGAGAGAGGTCTCAGACAGGGATGTTCTTTATCTCCATACTTGTTTGTGATCTGTATGAATGTGCTTTCCTGGCTGATTGATAAGGCGGCTTACAACGGAGAAATCAACTATCACCCAGGCTGTAAGAATCTTATGTTAACTCATTTATGTTTTGCTGATGACCTGATGGTGTTTGCAAGGGGAGAAAAAAGGTCGGTTGAGGGGATTTTAAAAATTTTTGATGGCTTCGCAAAAGGGTCAGGTCTCAAGATCAGTCTTGAAAAGTCGTCGATTTATATGGCTGGTGTAGCGGATGATATAAAAAACCAGATTCTGAATCAGTTTCCTTTGGAGTATGGTGAGCTACCTGTAAGGTATCTTGGTTTGCCTCTGATTACCAAAAAAATGAAAGCTTCTGATTACTTGCCACTTATCGAGAGTGTTAAAAACCGGATTACATCGTGGACAGCCAGGCCTCTGTCGTTCGCAGGAAGATTACAGTTGGTTGGATCAGTAATTTTTAGCATCACAAATTTTTGGATACAAGCTTTTAGGCTTCCGAAAAGCTGCATTAAAGAGATTGACAAACTCTGCTCTACTTTCTTATGGTCGGGACCGGCTTTGAGTTCTAAAAAAGCTAAAGTCGCTTGGGTTGATGTCTGCACGCCAAAGGAGGAAGGAGGTTTGGGATTGAGATCCCTTGAGGAAGCTAGTAAAACATGCTGTTTGAAGCTGATTTGGAGGATTCAATCAGGGAAAATTTCTCTTTGGGTTAACTGGGTTCAGAGACAGCTCATAAGAGAAGGATCTTTCTGGGCGGTTAAAGACACGACCACTTTGGGCTCTTTGGATGTGGAAGAAGCTTTTAAAGTATCGCACCCTGGCAAAGAATTTCCATTCAGTTCAGGTTAAAAAAGGGGATGATGTTTACTTCTGGTTTGACTCATGGAGCAAGCTGGGTTGTTTGTTCGACAGATTGGGTGATCGGGGCTGTATTGATTTGGGTATATCCAAGCAGAGAACTCTTGCTGAGGTTCTCGCTAGACCAAGACGACGGCGACACCGTCAAGAGCTGTTGAAAGAGGTGGAGACTGAACTTGACATGCTCAGACAGAGGCCAGATACAACGTCCTCTGATCTTGCTCTTTGGAAACAGAGGAATGGTCAGCACAAGCCGAAATTTGCAGCTTGGGATACTTGGAGTCAAATTCGGCAGGCGAAGCCTCGCGTAACCTGGTATAAAGGGGTCTGGTTCTCACAATCTACCGCAAAGTACATGTTTGTGACTTGGCTAGCATTTTGGAACAGACTAGCTACCGGCGACCGAATGACGCTGTGGAATATCAACATAAACTCGAGTTGCGGTCTTTGTGGGAGTCAGTTGGAATCCCGAGACCATCTCTTCTTCTCTTGCCCCTTTTCGACGGAAGTTTGGCATGCCATGGTCCATGGTCTGTTGAAGGCACAGTTCACGACGGAGTGGGAGGAGGTGGTGCGGTTGATCGTTAAACCACCTGGGAATCGAACTCATGGTTTCCTCATTAGGTATGCATTCCAAATGTCTATCTATGCTATATGGCGGGAACGAAACGGCAGAAAACACGGAGAAAGGCCCTCTCCTGCGCATCGCATTATCAAAATTCTGGACAAAAACATGAGAACTCAGCTCTGCTCTATTCGGGAATCAGGTGACCTGCGATATGAGGAGGGGTTACAACTCAGGTTTGCAACACGATAAGATGTTCTTTGTATTTCCAGTCTAAGTCAAGAAACAGATTGAAAAAGTTGTAAAAAGTCATTTTTTTTTTGAATATAATTTAACATTAGATTCAAAAAAAAATAATAATAATAGTTGTTTCTTTAGTTTATAAAACATTTATAGAATTGCATAAACCCAACTCATAAATCAGTTAGAAGACAATATAACAATATTTATTCTGTTCTAAAAATTTCAAAGTTCTATTGGTTACTAACCAGGTGATATTGCAAGTTCAAATCATAGATCTTTAACAAAAAAAGAAGAAGTTCAAAACACAGATAGCAAACACAAAGATCTCCTTTATAGAAAAAAATCATTACAGTTACAGTAAGACTTTTGAAATTCGAAATGGTAAACGTAAAAGAAAATTGTTGAAATAGAATTAATTAATGAGATATGAAAAAATTACTACAAATTCTTAAGTTTTAAATCGTAAAATAAAAAGAATGAACGAGATATATATAATATTGATTTATCCCACCTCCCCAAAATTATGAAGAATTTTTGTTGTGTGGAACATTCCATCAATCCTTTTTTTTTTTGAACGCCTTTTTTTTGAACGGCTTCATTCCATCAATCCTAAATGGTGAAATTTTTCTCTCACCATATTTCATCCATAAATTTTTTGTTAAAGGGTTTCCCATAGAATTAATCTTTCGTTGTTAAATGTTTCGTAGATAACTTTTATTTGTATGAAATAAAACCAATCTATTTCACTCACAACTGATGTTCAGGAAAATTCAATATATCCTACTTAAAATAATCGCCAAAAAGTTACATGGAGTAAAAAAAGTAAGAAACAGAAGATCCATAAAAAAAAAACAGAATTAAAAGTACAACTCGCAAGAACTACCAAAATGCACCTTGTGGCTCAGGAGGTCTTTGGGTTGGTGGGCACGTTTTTCGCTTTCATTCCTTCACCTCCTATAACACCTTTGGATTACTAACTCAAGATTTTCTTTTTCTGTTTTAAATAAAAATTAATTAAGATTTGATTGGTTCTATTATTAGTGACATACTGACACCGTTTGCTATTTACCAGTTTACCGTAATAAGTTCCTTTTTGTTAAAGAAGTTAACATACAACACCTTTGGATTACTAATCAGTGTTGTTTGTAGTTTCACGTAACTAAGAAAAAAAAATCGTTAAGATCACATGTATTTAAAGACAATTGCATTATTTTTTTACATATAAAATAAAAATACGCAACCTGAATCTTAAACATAAAATGAATTGTTTGATTGTTCCGCGGGAACGAGTTCGTATTTCTTGTTTAGGAGGGTCACGCAACGACTTCATAGTTTTAAATTTTAACGTTATTTAAATTTTGCTTAAAATATCAATTCAAAAAATATATTGCTTATATATATATAAACATATGCACATTAATTATGGAAGAAGTAATATTATAAGCAAAGACAGGGAAACAGCCAGCCGTTTACTTTTTCCTAGTTTCTTGCATGTTTGGAGAGCTAAGCCTAATCCGAGGCCGCACTCCATGCCGTTTTCTTTAATTGCTTCCCTAGCATCTACTCTCCATGAGCTCTTCCCCAATTCAAGGGCCTATTTCAACCAAATTTCAACCAAATTTCAATCTTATTTTATCAATAGAGATAGTATTCATTTCGTAGAATGATGTATAATTACGCTTTTGCTTATTTCAATTCCAAATCTTGATATATTGTAGAAAGATTGAAACTTATAGCCAAAATATCCACACACACAAACCTATTTATAACATTTTTAGGCTTATATGCTATTTAACTGTATACTGGATTATTCAGCTAAGTATATGTCTAATTATTATGTTGTCTTATGCTACCTTGCTAAGTCAATCAACTCATTTTCATGGCCAGGCCAATGCACCATTTTGATAAAAAAAATTACGACATAGGTTTCCCAATAGTAACTAATTTTCTATCCAAATAACAAAATAGAAAGAACGAAATTCAAAATTCTTAACAATATGGGATATCATACAATTGGTTAAAGAAAATAGATAACAAGAAGGATTGAGTTTCATACACAAAAGCAAACCTTCCAATTGGAGAAGGTCCATATTATTATTCTATTATAGACATGTTCAAACGGTGCATTTCCCGGTCTTACTATGAATAAGTAACCAAAAACCCGGTTTTGGTTCGGTTCGATTTCGGGTTACCACCAAAATCCCTAACCAAGTCAAAACACCCCACTAGACCTTCTAGACCAGAATACACATTTAACAGTACAATTTATCCACACAATGTAATTGATTGATAGTTACCTTTTCTCTCAAGGCAACAACTTCTCTAGCAAATTCCCAAAGAAGAAACTGGTTTTGGCCCATCCTCCTCCTGTACCGGCTTGACCTTCTTCTTTCCCTCTTCTGCTTGGAACCTTGTTCTTGACGTTAATCATCATACTGTGTCCGATCTCTCCGCGTAACGCCTCGATTGTCTTCACGTCCACTGGATTCCCTGAAGCATCTCTCACATAGAAAACGTTAACCGCTTGTTCTCCTACTGTTGTCACACCAGCTCTTGTCACTGAAAGCCCGTGCTCTCTCAGAATCCTAGTTACTTCCGACAGTAATCCAACTCTGTCCTTTGCGCAGAGCTCCAAACTCCAACCCTAGAGTTGAATTTCAGACAATATAAACTTAACCAGTCGTTGCTTCTAATGCAAGAAACACCAAAATGGAAGTGTTTTTCTTTCTTTTTTTTTTTTGAGTTATCTTACCTCGCTGACTCTTCTATGGATTGCAGCTTCTAGGCATTTGATAACTCTCTCTTTCTCTCCTTCCGAGTCCAGCGTGCAACCGTCTTTGTGTCTGATGAAATACTCTTGGGAGGCATGAGGACCGTTGGATGAAATCGTGGCGTGAAACACAATGTATTGCATATCCGTAAGCGTGCATACAATGTCGAACATGAGCTTGGCTCGATCCTCGCAGCTCACGCTTATCACCGAGTAACCTTTCTCTTCGCAATGCTCAACCGTGATCTTGGGATCGAGTCCAGGAGAAGTGGAACCATCAAGCTTAGTAGTCACTGCTTCGTAGTCTCTATCAGCGAATAGCATCTGATGAAGCCTACGGTCAACATGAGTCGAACCAATGGAGAGACTCGTCCGAGCAACTTTCTCATCTTCTTGTTCACATCCACGTAGCACAAGGTTGAGCTGTTCTTCCATGGCAGACAATCTCTCTGCGTCTTCTACAGCTCTAGACGTTTCGTTATCATTCACATAGAGAACACAAGCGATCCTACGGTTATGAGTCCATGCTTCAGCTGCCACCACGTTGAAGTGCAGGTCTGCTAGCACGGCTGAGATCTCAGACAAGAGACCAGGACGATCACGAGCAATAATCTCGATCGATGTGTGGTCGCCTAATGAATGGACACCTACTCTTTTACCTGGCCAAGTGTTTTGTGAAGCCGAAGCATGACCCTTTGGTCCTAACACCTTTTGAAAACAAAGCAAGAATCAGATTGTAATAACAATGCTAATTGTATACATTATATAAACCATACAATATAAAACTGCTTTTGTTTATATACCTTTTCGATGTAATCGATGGTCTTGCTATCAGTAACCTTGTTTCCTTGTTGATCAGTGACATGGAATACTACAAAGATGTGAAGATGGAATCAGTGAGATGTTTTATTGGAATGAAATAATCTGTTTTGAATGTTTAAAAAAAGTTGCAAATATTACCGTCCATGAACCATCCACCATCAGAAGAAATATATGCTTTGGTGATTGTGAGATCAAGATCGGTGAGGACTTGCACAACTTCCAGTAGTATTCCAGGTTTGTTCATACTGTCAACCTGTTAAGTAAGAGTGTCACAGGCATCAAATATCAGTTAAATCATCAAATCGACTTATCCGACAAGGAAGAGCTTTACCTTGACAAGAGTACATTCTTTGCAGCTAGTGTTATCTATGGAAACACTGAAACAACAACAAGAGCACAGAAAAGTATGAGCTTTAAATACAGCATCAATGACTCTACGTTCTTGAATGAAATAATTTCAATGGACTCAGTGTAATATTTATTACCTTGGAGGGTTGATTCTGGTGCTCAAGTTCTCATATTCAGGATCGAAATATGGCCAATAAACTTTAGCCATCAAAAAAGAAATAAGATCTTCTGAATTTTCAGTTCTTCACACGTTCTGCAGTTAACCAAAAGAAGTTATTTTCTATCACCAATATACAGAGAACAAGAAAAAGGGGTAAGAAGAAGCAGGCTTTTAAGTCTCTCAACAACTTGGAAGAAGATAAGATATTCGGAGATTTTGCCTGCCGAGTCAAATAAGTGAATCTTGGCCACTAAGTAACTCGACAGAAGTAGCGGAATCTAGAGAAGATATAGATAAAAGATTTCATAAAGAGAGACCACAAACTGAGATTCTCTGAAAAAAAACTCTGCTCCTTCTCTGGTCCTTCTCAACCAAAGAAAAACACGAGAATAGATTCCTAAAAGATCTCTTACTATGAAAATCAAAACTAAAAGATCACTTCTTTTTTTCCAAGACTTGACATGAGATTCTCTCTATTTGCATAAAGGAATCGATGCTTAGAAAAACGAAACTTAGAAGTAGTAGCTGTCAAAGGGAGAAACATGAAGGAAAAAAAGTTATAAAATAGTAAAAATAAAATAAAAACTTTTGTAAAAGAAGATATTATTGGTCAAAAGGTGGAATCCAAAATGCTACACATAGAAACACACTGTATTTATAAAAATATAATAAATACGTATCAGACAATATGCCAACTTACAACACTAAACACATCCACCAACAACATGAAGATGAGACAAAGTTTGTTAGTCGATTTCTTGAAATACACAAAATCTATTCCCAATTTGTAATATTTGTACATAAACTTAAGGTTTGTCGACATCAAATTTAGCTACACATCGTTCTCAAACACTGTCGAATCCCAATTCCCATGATGCGAATTTTAATTGAGCTCGTGTGTGTTTGCCTCAATTCAGCTAAATCTTAGAAATTTCTGAGTCTCTCCACACAAATTTAAGATAAATATATTACAAAACCCACTTGTGACAGCATCACAAATTGACAAAAAAAAAATCACAAACAGAAAAAAAGGACCAGAATTCCGAAGTCTCAGAAACGCAAGGAGTAGAAATGAAATCAGTATTGAATAATCAAACAAGAAATGATAAAAGAGAGTGGAAATAGTTACCTTAGTATGAGAACAGAGAACTTAGAGAGAAAGAAAAAAAGGGTTCAAATCTGTGGAGTCGGCTAGAGGAGAGACAGAGAAATCTAAGGAGATTACAAAGGGACGATTATTTTAAGGAAAATGAAAAAAATCTTTACATCTTCGAAAACAAAAGAGATACACAGAGAGACAGAGACAGAGGCAAGTGTCCACAAAGACAACAAAAACAAAAAGATGTCTGTCTGCCTCTTCTCTCTCTCTAAACGTTCTCCTCTTTTAATGAGATTGAAACCCTTCTTTCTGCGTCAGAGGCTTTAAGTAGGGAATCTTATCTTGCGAAATACAACCTTTTTATTTATATATATATATATATAAGAAAACAGAACAAAAAAAACTGCCTTTTAATTAAATGAGTATTAGTCAGACATGACGAAGCGAACATTATAATTAGTGGTGGATGGTGGTGTTAAATACGAAGCTACTCCTCACTCCCACACACGCTCTCTCTACAGCGCGTGTTTTCTACTCTCTACATTATGGTTTGGCTTTGCTGTGTGTGTTGCTTTACCATACCGATTTGGTTAATTTGCAATTATAATATTAATCCTACTATATTCTCATTCGTTTCACTGGAAAAAGTATTTCAAAAATATAATTTTCCTAATGAGATGAATGTTTTGGGAAATCAACCAAAAATAGTAATTATCCATTCCTTCTCGAGGAGTCACACCCAGAATAATCTTTACACATTGCTCTACAATAAGTGTGTTGGAGTCAATGGTAATTTACATCATTGTTCTGAACAATTAATTAATTAAGAGAAATAATGCAGAAGAGGCAGCGCGTTAAGGAGTTTGTAGCAAAATCGCGTGAAAATCTAAGCGTTTGGACCGCACGGGGTGGTACGGGCGGTTGTTTTTGTCGCTTAGTTGCTTGGTCGAGAACGTGGAAAGCTTCATAAATTACATAAAATATCCCTCTTGTTGTTTTTTTTGTTTTGTTTGTTCGGCAGAATAAGAACGATCCACATTCTACGAGGCTTTTTTTCCTGTAAGCTTAAATTACATACAGTATAAAATAAATTTTATTGTTTCTGTCTTTTTGTCTTTTTGTCTTTTTGTCTTTTTTGTTACTGTTGGTTGACCAAAATGTTAACAACGGGGTTAAAACGGTTCTAAACTAGATAGTTAAAAACGTTTTGAAGTAAAGGGAACGAACTTAACGATAACAGTACAGAACCCATAACTGTTTAATATTATCTTTTTTCCGTCAGAAACAATCTTTATTACTATATTCTTCTTTACCTTTTTGTACTCAAGAATACTATATAGTATATATCTCCTCAAGTCCTGCGCTCGAACGTCTGGTTCCAAATTCAATCGGTTGTTGAGATACTAATTCGGGTAACAACTTATTCATTGTTCTAGACAACAAAAATTCACAAACAAAAACAAATGTGTAGGTATGCGATTTTAAAACTACAAATGGCACATAACCAGTAAGTCTGTGACGAAACTATATTTGCTTCTTTGTTTTTCGTCGGCCTCGTGACTCCTACCACCAATGTTTTCCTGTCAGTTTGTATAGTCACATGGTATAAATTGTCGACCGCTTACCACCGCAGGAGACAGTCTAATACTCTTTCACAATCTGAAAATACTTAAAACTTCTTTACATGAATCGATGTTTATTCGAATTGGTAGTTCCTCAAATACATTTTAAGATGAAGATTTGCAGCTCGTTATCTTTACATTTTTCAAAGTTTTAGATTCTTAACGAAATATTACTAAACAAATATTATTAAAATTTGTTTTCATATACTACAAGGAGAAAGTTTTCCACAATCAAAATATATAGAAATATTGATATATTTTGTGTGACTGACTTTAATCTATGTGTAATAGTAACTGTATATAAAACCAATATATATATATATATTGTAAATCTGGTCTGTTTCATATGTTTCAAAATAATTTATAATTTTCTTGACATATTTTGTGTGCGAGTTACGTTCGACTCATAATTTTTTATAAGTCTAACTATTTTTTAATTATATTATTTTTATATTGAAAAATATATTCGTAACATTCTGCAGATAACCATCTGATAAATACCCCTAAAAATCAATACCTCTATATTCGAGTACTTATTAGTTCTATCGCTTCAAATTATTTCACCAAATTTATGATTTTTAGTGGGTGTGATTGATAAATAAAAAAGGCCAAGTCGCAAAGCTAAGAGAAGATTCGGTATCTTTGCCCTTTAACCTTTCCCCTCCCCACATTCTATCGACGTCACTCTCTTTCTCTCTGTATTTCATTTACCCAAAATTATCCCAGCCAATGGTCCCTTCATTTCTTTATTTTGCTAAATTACACCCATCGTTTTGTCTTATATATATCGATGTAAACATCACAAACAGTTCACTTATTTTTCTTGTCAACCACAAACAGTACACATATAACCAGCCAGTTTTTCAATAATTCATTCCCCCTACCAAGATTCTTGTAAATTTATTAGCGAAGTGGATCTTTGAATGATTCTTCTTTGTTATTATACTAAGTAATAACAAGTCCAAGGCTTGTGTGTCCTGAGTTTAAAAGTATCGACTGCTAACTTATCTTCTGATATATATATAAAGTTTTAAATCTATTAATAACATATTACAAAATTCTAGTTCAACCATCACACAAAGAACGTTGTAAGAAGAGAAAAACAAATTGCTGTACTAGAGATGTGAAAGATTGCTTCTCCTCAGATTTGGGTGGCTGATAAATTCCATAATTCTTTATTTAGATACCTAAATTTAAATTGTCTCACACAGATTATCGCAATAAAGTTTTGATGACGATAGAAGCCTAGAGATTTCTTGAAAAAGAGTAAACTTAGTAGAGATATAGAATTTGATGTGAATAGAGAGGTATACAACAAAAGGCTCAATAATGTATTCCACATTTTGTGTTTGTTGTTAATTCCATTATCCTCTATTTTTCGTACAAAAGTTATACCAAAGTGCTTTTCCTACAAAGAACATTGCTTAGTGGAGCATGTGATGGCCTCAACCTCTCCCACCTTAAATGTTGAACAACAAAAGATATCTTCAAACACTGTTTTTAAAACAACCCTTTTTCTTCTTAATGCTTACCACTTTGATCCACTCATAAAAATCTGAGTAGTGTCCTATATATTGTCACATGATGCATTGAGATGTAAAAGTCAACAGCTACTATTTTTAATTGGACAAGAAAACCAAAGAGGATGATGATCTTGAGGTTGTGTCTTGGACTAAATTCCCTCCAAACCATTCTTAAATCCTCTGCCGAGTTCTTCAATGTATAGATCATGTAGTCCATAGCGTGTGACAAAGGGTCAGAGGCAAAAAATTAATTCTTCTCACCAATGAGAGATCAATGAGAGAAAAATGATACTATTGGATCCGAGTCAAGCCCTCGCAAAAATCTTCTCACCAAGTTCGAGAGATGAAATACTTGCACACGCACTATTAATTAATGACAATGGAGAAGCGAAACTTATCAGTAGGAAAAGATCAGCTTGTGCATTTGGCAGAAATACTTTGAAGTCTCAACTGGATAACAATTTTGATTGAATCCTACGTACAGTCACTGAGTTCCAAGAAATGAAGCTCTTTAATTATTTCAATTCTTACAAATACCCACTTTGCATCTTCAACTCTTCTACAGCTGAAATGTACATTGATCATACAATTGAGTTTCTGTCATACGTTTTGTAAGCTTCTATTGGGTTTCCACACATGCATTGACTACGAAAATGTCATCACTTAACACATTGAGTACATGTAAAGAAAAAGTTTTTTCTCAGGGATTTCATCGAACAAGTTCCCATTCTGCCACACCACGTCACCACGGGAAGAGATGACAACTGAACTAAGAAAACCCTTTTTGAGGAACATTCCATGCATGGGTTAATCTCCATCGAGTTTATCGACTTCTGTTGCTGCAGGAGTGAAGATTGAGGAAGAAATAACGCCGATAATCTCCTTGCATGGCTGTAGAAAAAATAATTACCAAAAGGTTTAAGGATATCAATCAATGTATACGACGATCAAACGATGCCGTATGATGAGGATCAAACACTAATGGCCTAATGGGCCTCTCGATTTATTTCGTTTTCTAACTTTAATTGTGATATCAAGAGTTCAATGCTCGAAGGAAACCCAAAGAGGAAGAAATGAAGAAGAACTAATTTAGTACATGTTAATTTAAATTTTTATATTGTTGGGCAAAGTTAATTTAAATGTATACTATATGATATAGAAATAAAAATAAATAAAAGATGTTCTAGAAGGAAACAAACTGTAGAATAAAAGAAAGGAAAAATGGATATTCAAGTAATAAAAATGGATTGAAAAGCAGCGAAAACCCCTGAAAGCTGCAAGATGTTGTGGTGACTTATGAGACACTAGTCGTTATTACACAATGTCATGGGTCCTTCAATTCTTCATATTTCGGATTCACATTCCTTTGATAAAAAGAAAACTATAGACTTGCATAATCTTTTCATCATTTTTTGTGACTTCTATGATTATAACGGACAATAATTAAAACTCCTTTGATTAATGAAATAATTAAAAACATGAACAAATTTGTTTTTTCTTAAACGTGAATCTCATATCTGTCGACTTATACGTAATTGGATACGTAAAAAATGTTAAACAATTTTGTCTTATCCGAAAAAAAGACTTATCGAGATAGTGAACGCTAGCAACAAACAAGACGTTGACTTTGTTTTTTATACTTTTTATAAAGATGGGATTCAGTGTTATAATTATTGCTATTATTATATTGTTACACGTGGTTGTCGAAATTGTTATACCGAACTAAATTTACACTACGATCTTGAGGTGTCGATTTAAAATAAATAGTGAATCATATTAAAATTAACGCAAAGTTCATAAAAATATCTGCCATAATCGTACATTGCCTTTTTTGTCAAATCGGAAGTTTCTAAAGTTTTTTTCTTTCTCTTTTATGTAAGTACCTCATAGGTTAAGTGATTAATTAGGTCGAACTCTTATATGACTAGTTGTCTAGTTCTACTAATCAACGAATAACACAGAAAAACCAAACTTTACCTATATTTACAAACCAACAAAACTTTCTATCTATAAATTTCTGAGTGAAAATCAGATTTAGCCAGGTATTTAGTGCCGTTCCTTTTTAAACATAACACTGACTTTACTGTATGGAATTGAAAGGTCCCGAAGAATGAGTAATTAGAATAAATAAATGTTCTTCGTCGTCTTGATAGAGTACGTTAGAGAACTAGGAAGGACAAATAAAACCATTGGACACGTTTAAGCTTTTAGTAGACACAATGAATTTTGCGTATCCCATACGCATTAAATGACTTATGCCTCTATACCGGTATTCATAACTACGGTCTACTGGAACAAAATGTTGCAATATGAAACTTTATTCTATTTTTTCTAATCTTTCATCGCACTAGAGGCTACAACAACCGCAATTACCATACTAATAATAATTCGGATCCTCAGTCTTCTATACAACAAAGCATCCTTTTCGAGACGGCGAGGGCATTAAAAAGCTGTAACGTGTTACGGTGTTAGTGGTAAACAAGTAGGGACGAGTAATTTAAGCCCAAAAATAGATGATAAACGACAATGATGCTGTTGGAGTATCAAGTAATAGATGTAGAGGATCTTTATTATATCCGTCTAACGCTTTCTTTCATACTAAAATAATATATGTGTTTTTTCTTTTTTATAACAACTGAAAATAATGGATGATATGTTTTCGGCCAAAAAAAAAAGATTCTTCAATAAACAAAAAGAAAAACATAAACTTAGGTTGACATTTTAACTTGTATTTTGACGGGGATTAACGCTAACACACATCTGGATTAAATCAGAAGTTGCCTACAGTAGTACTTAAATTGGCCGAGCCAACACACATTGTTTTTTTTTTTGAACTTTACTAAAAAAGTTCATGTTTAATTGACGAAAACATGTTAGTTCGTTTCTTAATCATAGTTTTCTCTAATATAAGCCTCTCAACCACAAATGACAACAATACCCTAAACAAAAACTACATCTTTTTTTTTTTCCAATATATATGTATGTCCTATCTTAGTATCTTATATTATTGTAAAAATATATTAGTGTTGTAGATGCGAAGGGCGTGTATAACGGGGCTTCTTTATAAATTGTGAACAAGACTCTTAAATCCTAAAAATCGCATTTTTTTGTTTGTTGCTTCAAAGCAAAATCCCAAATTTCAACGACGACCATCGCAATGTTTGATTCTTCATCGAAATCGTTCAATTCCCATTTAGTTTTTCCCAGAACTTTCGATGATCATCCAGATTCCGGCGTCTGTTCACCTCCTCTGTGGAGAAGCAGCCCACCGAAGAGTCCTTCTCACCGTCACTGCAGTAATCTCTCGCCTGTTTCGAAAGCTCAGGTGATCGCTCGTGGTCAGCGAGAGCTTATGGAAATGGTTAGCAAGATGCCCGAGTCGTGCTACGAGCTTTCGTTGAAGGATCTCGTTGAGGTGAACTCAGACGAAGATAAGGAGCGGAAAGTGCTCGATGAATTGCCTCAGAGAAAAAGCAAGCCGAGTAAAGTCGTGAGGAAGATGAAGAGCGATAAATGGGTCGATCCGATTCGAAACGGAGGCGTAAACAACAGTGGGTTTCTTCTGAAATTGGTGTTTCCTGTTAGCTTGGGTGCTAAGAAAAAGACGAAGAAGAAAGATGAGGATGATTCTTCTGTCACAAGCAAAGGCTCTTGGATTTCTCCCAGATCAGAGGATAAAGATTGGTGGAAGAATGGATTGTCAGATTCGCGTAGGAGTCACAGAGGTGTCTCAAGGATCAACAGTGGGAGCTCAAAGAGCAGTGGTGGTAATAGCAGCAGAAGCAACAGCGATCCAAGTCTAAGGTATGCATAGACTCCGGGAAATTAAAAACTATTTGACCATATACCGATATAGAAAGAAAACTGTAATACGATTAACTTTGATGATATAACCAGCTTCCTTATGAATCTGTAGACGTATTTTGCATCTAGTTCGAGCTTTGGTCTTCTTGATTATTAAGTCTTCTTCTAGAGTTAATTTTCCTCGTGGCCGTACCGGTGCGTAGCTTTGTGATACTCTTCTCGTGTTTGTGAAATTGGTCCTTTTTTTTTTTTCTGTGGTTCGTTAGAAAGGGTCAATGTAGATGCGTTGGTTGCACGAGATTTTGACTTCAAGCTTTGGACTTTGTTGTTCAAGGGTGATGACTAAAGATGCTAATCCTGTGCTGTTTCCTAATTCCGTAACACAATCTCTTGTCTCATCTCTTTCAACTTTTGGGGTTTTGATTTTTCGAACTGTGGGGTTTTGATACAGGGATGAAAACAGAGGATGCTTATCTTTCCTCTGGAATGTACATCTACGAGATTGAAACGAAAAGTTCTGCATTGGTTATACACTTCTTTGGCTAAGAGGATAACCTATTCATATAACTCGGGCCGGATATAGTGCGTTTTTTAAACCCATGGATCATGGATGAATGAATCCAGCCCCAGGAATGGTGAAGATGAAAGCAGAGGACATGAGTACTCTTCTTCAATGTGCAACCAAAGATTCTATCCCCTTTTTTTCTGGTGTTCTTTGTAAGCCTATGTAATGTAGCTATAGAGTCTATAGTGATCTTATATGTAGATAGATACTCCAGCTTTTGCTAACATAAACCGATAAAAGTGTTATAATGCTCATCGAGAAATATCAAAATTTTAAGTTTTTGCATGTGACCTAAAACTTAGTGTCAGTGTCAATCATCTTTGCCTTCGCTTCAAGTCCAAGAGGAGTGAAATCTATTTGTTTTGTTATGCTATGTTTATGCTCTTGTTCTGGTGAGGTTGATGATAAGTTTTAGTGATTGGTAGTTTGGTACCTGAGTGGTAAGTCAGTGGTGGGTCCTTGTATGTGGAATTGTGTGAGATTCATTTATAGTCATCATAGTCATCTTCCAAACGCCGACCCGTTTCCGATTTTTGTTTTTCTTGCGTTTAGAAAACGCGCTCATGTATTAGCGGTTTGGACTTCACCGAAGACAAGTCAACGACGAAAACTATATGACAAGCGACGCCGTTGTGTCATTGTTAGTTACGGTGATTTTGCCGGGAATAGACCGGTGCGACTAAAAAGATTTTATTAACCTTTCATTGTTTTTTTTTTGTCGTATTAACCTTTCATTGTTAATTTATGAAAATGTCCAAAAGAGTCATTATTAAATTAAGGGGGTGATATTCAGTCATGAATTTGAAATGAATTTTCTATGTTTTATAATCTTCTAGATTTAAAATTTGATATCAATTTGATGGATTCATTTATTTAGATTCTAAAATCTCTGCAATATACACTGGATTTTGATTCTAATAATTTACTCATAAAACTCTATTATAATTGATTTGAAATGACTTAATGTACAAAGATTTTAAAAATTATTTAGTTTTGAATAACACTGGATTTTAATGAAAGATTTGAAATTTTTATTGAATAACACCAAACTTTAAAACCTCTTAAATATGATTTACAATCAAAAGAACCAATAACACTTGATTTTAAAACATTATTTAGAACCATTAATTGAATAATAATAGATTGTGGTTGGATTTAAATTCTATTAAAAACTATATTGAATAACACTTCCTAAGTTTGCTATATTAAAAAAAAGGGTCACTAAAGTCGACGGTGACTTTGTCTTAGTATCACCGACCGTGACATTAGCATAATAATGAGAAAACCCAAAACACAAGTTTGCAACTTTCGTGCATCTAGAGAAGAAGAAAAGTCGCAGTTGATTCTAGACGGCGAAAGGCTGACCTTACCTTGACACGTTCAGAATAATCCTTACCGTGTTTGAGGGTAAAAGTTGAAAATTTTCCGAAAGTCCCCTTCAAATTGGTTTCATCGCTTTCGAATCCTGAGACTTTCGCTTGCTCTTATTTCGGTTCTTAGGTCTGAACAAGGTAAAGTTTTTTGCTTTTTATTTTTCGAATCTGAAGTTGTGTTCAGTTGTCTTACTCTTCGATTCTCTTCTTGCTATCGGCTGTTTGCTTTTTTAGTTGCTGCGTAATCGCGATCACTGATCGACTCTGTTCAAATTTGGAATTTTTTTTTCTTTTTTCTGGCTCAGTTGTTCAGTGGTTGAAAGCAATTTTGCGATTTGATTTGCGTTTCCGTTGGAATCGGTTACTTCTGTTCTGTAGTTCTTTTTTCTTTTTGGCTTTGTGATCTGTTCTTGATGGTCTGGGAACAAAAATGCAGTCTTTCATACTAGTTCTATTGCAATCGCCAATATTTAGTTTAACAATTTGACTACGATGATGTGGTTTTGACCTTTGAATTATAGCTGTGTTACTGTGTACTAAAGAGATTGTGGTCTATTTGATATGTGATTATAGGAAATTTGGAACTGTGGGATTTGATTGGTAAGAGATCCTAAGATGGCAAATGAAGCGGCTGCATGTGCAGGAAGAGCTACAAACGATATGTTGATTGGTCCAGATTGGGCTATTAACATTGAATTGTGTGATATTATCAACATGGATCCTAGGTAAAACCCTTGAGTTATCTTCTGCAACTATTTCTATTTTGAAAATTTCGCATACATTTGTTTCAATTTCGCTGGCTAGTAGTCACTATTGTCTCGCTAATTTCGGTTTCTTTGTGGCTGGAAATGTAATGGTTTTTACAATGTTTAATGTCTTAGTCAAGCAAAAGAAGCAGTAAAGTTGCTCAAGAAGCGGTTAGGAAGTAAAAACCCTAAAGTCCAGATTCTTGCACTCTATGTGAGTATACTTTTCTCCATTCTTGGATTGAGTGCTTTTGTTTGGTTTCATGTATGTGTTGACCTCATTCTCGGATGATCCTCGGGGGTTTTGGTGCAGGCATTGGAGACTTTAAGTAAGAATTGTGGCGAGAACGTGTACAAGCTTATCATTGACCGTGATATTTTGATTGATATGGTCAAGATAGTGAAGAAAAAGGTTTAGCCATATTTCACCTGTTTCTAAGATCTCGATTCTGCCTTCTATCTCTGGAAATTTCGCTTACCTTACAAACTTAATAAATGCAGCCTGACCTGAATGTGAGGGAAAAGGTACTTAGTTTGCTAGATACATGGCAAGAGGCTTTTGGTGGAAGTGGTGGTCAATACCCACAATACTACAATGCGTATAATGAACTCAGGGTATGTTAACTTGAGAGATGGTTCTTTTTTATTCATGAGGTATGACCATTTATGTTGTAACTATAATGCTGAATGCCTAATCTTTGGAGGTAATCAACACGGTTTATAGGTGCCTAGGTCCGCTTTTTGGAACACAGGTTTTGACAAATGTTTTTTGGCCTTTTTGATAATTTTTTTTAGTCTGCTGGAATTGAGTTTCCACCTCGAACAGAAAGTAGTCTCTCGTTCTTTACTCCACCTCAGACGCAGCCCATTGCACACGTGGCTCCATCTGATGAAGTTGCTGCTATTCAGGCATCGCTGCAAGGAGATGATGTTTCTAGCCTCAGGTACTCTCTTCTAAGTGGATCATCTTCTTTGTCTTTAGTTACGGTGAAATGCTGTAGTTTGTTGATAATTTTTTATTATTTTTTAGCCTGGAAGAGATTCAAAGCGCTGAGGGATCAGTTGATGTTTTGATGGACATGCTTGGAGCACTTGATCCCGAGAATCCCGAGGTAGGAAATTTTCTTGCTCTATTGTATGAAAATACAAGGAACTGCTTGTTTTGCTTTCAAGTAATTAAAACTGTTTGTTTTCTCCTGGATGTTGTTGCAGGGTTTGAAAGAAGAAATTATAGTTGACTTAGTCGAGCAGTGTCGTACTTATCAAAGACGTGTTATGACTCTTGTGAACACTACAACGTAAGCTTCTTCTGTTCCTTGCTTCCTTTTTTTTGTTTCTCCCGCTGCTGTTTCCTCTCATTTGATGATGGGTTTTGCTAAATGGTGAAAGTACCTTCGTTTTCTAATTTACCAGAGACGAGGAACTTCTGTGTCAGGGATTGGCATTGAACGATAATTTGCAGCGCGTTCTTCAGCGCCACGATGATATTGCAAAGGTCGGCTCTGTTGCTTCAAATGGAATGAATACCACAGCTCCTCCTCCAGTTGAGTTAGTCAACATAAATCATGATGATGACGAATCAGATGATGATTTTGCTCAGCTAGCTCACAGGTGATAATAGTATATTAAGATATGATCTCTTGACTTTTTTTTGTTTCTAATAAGAAAAACGTTCTTTTAACTTTTGTGAATTCTCAATCTCTACAAGGTCTAAAAGAGATTTCAGACCGATTCTTCCTCCACCACCACCACCACATATGAGACCAGTATACGGTGGTAGTGATTCAGGTAAGGTGGATTTCCTTAGTGGTGATGTCTATAAACCTCAAGGCTCCTCACAAGGAGTAAAGCCTCCTCCTCCTGCTGCTTCGTCTTCTCCTGTTGTGGATGATCCAATTCCGCAAAGAAACTCCCCTGAGAAGTTACCTCCTCCGGCTCAATGGGATGCTGAGGTAATCAGGAATCTTCCACCTCCACCTTCAAGGCATAACCAGAGGCAACAGTTCTTTGAGCATCATCACTCGAGTAGCGGCTCTGATTCCTCTTACGAGAGTCTAGTTGGACAGACCAGGAACCTTTCTATGACTAGTGAGCCGAAGAAAGAGGATAAACCAGAGGATGTGCTTTTCAAAGACCTGGTTGAGTTTGCCAAAACCAGGTCCTCCAAGCCCAACAATAGGTCGCTTTGAGTCTTTTGCTTGTGTAACAAGTGTGCTTTTAGCAATCTTTTCTTTATTTATTTTTTTAAGTAACATTAAATGATGGTATTAGAGTGCCCCTTATATACATTTCTGTGTGACGGCGAATCACGTTCAAGACACATACACTTTGCATTATGCACCAAGAACTAACAATAGGATGAAGCTATTGAACAAGTCAATTGTTTCTGAGTTGTTTTATCATTCCGTTGTATTCTACTATTCTTCATGTTTCATTCATGTGGTTTTATAAGCGTAGAAACCCGAATATGAATAATGAAATCAGAGGATGTGCTTTTCAAAGACCTGGTTGAGTTTGAGCATCACCACTCGAGTCTAGCTAGTTGGACAGACCAGGAACCTCTGTATGACTAGTGAGCCGAAGAAAGAAGATAAACCAGAGGATGTGCTTTTCAAAGACCTGGTTGAGTTTGCCGAAAACCAGGTCCTCCTAGCCCAACAATAGGTCGCTTTTGAGTCTTTTGCTTGCGTAACAAGTATGCTTTAACAATCTTTTCTGATGATATTAATCTGCGCCCTATTGTCAAATTACATCAGTTTGTGACGGCCAATCACGTTCAAGACAGCAAATACCAAAGCAAGACTTGATCATACTCTTGACATTATTTCTTGCTCCGAATAAAGTTGCCGGCGCCGTGAAACGGCCATTGCCACCAGAATGCAGAGGGAAGGAGCTTGGACCTTGCATCGATTACCTTTTGAACCCAGGGGTGGAAAGGCACGTGGAACGCAACCTTGTTGTGAAATATATCGACTGAAAAATTCGAAACCATGTTTGCGTAAAGTCTTTACGACGTCCCAGGATCCTAATCTAAACAAAGTTGCTTCTACTATTTTTAGGAGGTGTGCTATTAATGGTTATCCTTGCCGTCTTCCTCCAAAGATCTAGTAGATATTGTTATACATGTAATTCAAAGAAAGTAATAACAATGTAGCAAAGCAAACATACATATTTTGAAATTTGAAATAATATGTACTAATTATGGTTGGTTTTATATGGTTCCCTTAAATAAACTATTATTATTATTATTATTATTGATGTTACAGTTGAATCTTATTCTATACCACGAAAAAAGTAAAATAACTTACAAATTAAATATATCTAAACACATTAACTTACAAATTAATTTAATGTGTGATTTGGGCTTCCCTTTAGGTTAATGTCACCTAAACCGGACACAGTAATAGTAGTAACACATCGCTGTAAACTCTTTAGTAACTAACATTTTGTGATTGAAGGGGTGATATCCTCGTATCTGACATGAACACTGATGTAATGACAAGACAAAATTTATTTATGCATGCGGAGGTAATTTATGCAAGGCTAGATTTCTAAACCCAACGGCTAGAATAAGCCTTGTTGAAGCTCACAAACCATTTACAAAAATATCATAACCCTAAACACTTTAAACAAACCGTAAATATCAAATTCCAAACCCGAACTGATGGCTTAATTAGCTTCCTCCTATATTTCACAAACCCTATTTAAAATTAAGTATCTAAACCCTAAACACTTTAAACAATAGATAAATAATAAAATCTATATACTCTAAATGCTAAACCGTTAGAATATGACTTCTAAACCTCCCGCGAAATATAAAACCTAATCCAAATATCCTAAACGCTATTAACCGTCTTAAATGTTCATTAACCTTCAAAATCTTTTATATAACGACTTTTTAAAACTTTCACAAGGTTTTGAAAACTTTTACATGCTTTTATAAAATTTCAAGTTTTCACCCTAAACACTTTAAATTGTAAAGAACCGTTGTTAGCGTTGTTAAAACTCATAAGTACCCCTAATAAAATGGTTATTGCAAAGTTGTAATAATCATATACATATAATGACTGGATTTTAGAGATTAGTATCCGAGATTGGCAACAAGATATATGTTTTGCCAATAACGTTCACATGTTGCATTATACGACAAATACCATTGTTTTTTTTTAGGAATAAAAATAGGATTAAGCTATTGAACAATTCAATTTTCTCAATAAAAACAAACTTTGCATTCTCCCCTTCTTCATAGGAATCGATTCCCACTTTCCAATTTTCCTGTTTTCTAGGAACTATTGATTCTAATTTCTTATTTAAAGGACATAAAACAAAATGAAATAAAAACAGAGAATACGCCTACAAATTAGATAAAGTCATCTTAACCAGCTACAATAATGAAGATCATTCGAATCATTCCATTGATGCTCGTTGCCATCATCATACTCTTAACATCATTTCCGGTTCCGATCAAAACCGTCGGTGCTGCGAATGTGCCAGTGCCAGCGGATTGCAAAGGGGAGATTGAACCTGGCATCCAACCCTTAATCAACGGAGCTCTAGTGCCACCAGGAGGTTGTTGCGTTAAATACAGACTAGAAAATTCGAGATCATGTTGGATGAAACTCGTTACGTCCATTGCCGGATTAATCAATTTAAATTTAAATTTCCTAATTTATAATTTAAAATATGATTTTTCAGTATTTTTTATAAAAATAATACAAAAACAAGAAAAATAAATTTAAAATTTATAAAATATTTCAACTCCATAAATAATTTATATAAAATACAAAAACACAATAAGATTAATGTTTTATTGTTGAAATATGGTTTTTTTTTCATATTTCCCTACAAAATCGTTTATTAAACTCTCTTAGTCAAGTTTTTCAACCATAACTGTCCTAATAGATAACAAAGCTAGCCAATTTAATCGCTCTTGGTAGATCACAAATAATTCTTTATCAGCTTTAATTTCGAAAAACTTCTTTCAGCAGTAACAACCGATACCAGAACTGTCAACAATATGCGATATAAAACTTCTGTGTTTTGATAACAATCTTCCATTTGTTTCAAAAAATTGAGCACTCCATTAAGCTTCCCAACTTCATTTAGTATTAATTCTCGGAGAATTTTAATTTCATAAACAGATCATCACTAACTATGGATGCATACCATTCGTTAAAAAAATCTTCAAATCTGCAAATTCTATTTTCTTTCTAAAATATAATTTGTTGCCCTTAACTAATATTTTTCTAGAGAAAAGTCTATAAACATTACAATTACAAATATTATTATTTTATAAAAAATCTTTTAAATTTTTTTTATTTATATATTTTTTTATTAAAAAAATTAACCAAAATTAAAAAATTGGATGTCCTAATCCGTCGTTTACCTCGCCTATGCTCTGGGCCGACCTTGGTTACGTCCCGTGATCCTAAGCTAAACCTAGCTGCTTATTCTATTTTTGAAAGTTGTATCGCCGGTTGTCCAAAAATCTAGAGATTATTACACATATAATTTGAACAAACATATTTTGAAATAATGTAAAAATTATGGTTGGTTTTTTATGGTTAACTAAATAATTGTTTTTAATATATGTTTTTCTATATGTATGCGTTTGCAATGCTATCTCTCTCTTTTTTTTGTGCAAATACTATCTCTCTTTTAGAATCAAATATAGATTTGTAAAGTGACCTAATTAAATATCTATATGAAAAAAAAATATTAATAACAGCATACTAAAATTGTCGAGGAGGATCGTGTCTATTTGTCATAACCTCGTTTTCAGCCTCATATCTGCGACTACGATGACCTAATTTCCGTTTTCTCTCTTTTTCACGATTTTATTCGTTTTGTGTGTGAGTTTTGTATGTTTTATTAAAATATGTAATATAACGACAAATCTATTTAGGACCCAATATCTGATTTTGAACTTAAAACCGAATAAGCTCAAATCGCATTGGTTTTCTATTGCCAAGCGGTTTACAGTGATTAAGTGGCCGTGTTTTCAAACATGTTCATACCTAAAATTGTTTAAAATAACACAAACTAATATATAATTTTGAATCTTGCTTATAAGTTAATATAAATAGTATTTTTGGAGAGAAAAAGAAAACTAAAAGTCTACAACGTTGACATGTAGGCTAATTAAGTTGGAATAAAATATCGCCAATTATGTATATCTCCAATCCATGACGTTTCTAACAAGTAATTGAAGTAATATAGTAAAAAAGATATAGCCCAATGGCTAAGAGAATGAGGGTTTTGGAGGGAAATTGATGAGTCTAAAATTGAACTACTATGTTTCCATGTCGGCTAATTAACCCTTTTGCATTTTGCTCCTTCTCTTCTATCAATCTTATTGATATTCAGATTATGAACGTTTAGTTGGACAAGCTATGTGTTTTTCATTTTGAAACAAGTTCATATATTCATACCATCGAAAAATTTAAGCTCATTTAGTTAAGCTCCAGATTTTTTTTTTTTTTTTTTTGGGTGGGCTATTAACCATCGTAGGCTAGAAAAACAAAGCCACTACCCAAAACAGAGCTAAAGCCAAAAACAGAGATATAGCTTAACGCTTTAGCGCTTTTTTTTGTTCTTGTGTAACAAGTGTGCCTTATTTGTCAAATAATGAGCGAATCTTGGAGATAGTAAACACCAACATACGTTTTAGTTCTCCAACGTTACTCCGCGTATACAGCTTTAGTGTTGTTAAAGATCATTTGCAGAATCCTCTGAAGCTAACCTAAAGATGGTGGGATGCCATTAAAGAAGAAGACTAACAATAGGAGGAAGCTATTAAACGACTCAATTGTTTTGTTTTTTTTTTAATTGTTTTTTGAAAAAAAATATATAATACAGTAGATGATTTACCATCCTCCCTTCTTTATAGGAATCGATTCCCCACTTTCCATATTTCCATGTTTTTAATGATCCATTGGTTTACAGCTACCTATTTAAAGACCTAAAACAAAATAAATATAAGCAGATGAGATCATTTTCTACAAATTTAAAGTAAATCCATCTTGACCAGTTTCTAATCCATTAGACATGAAGATCCTTGCATTGATGCTCATTGCCATCATCATACCCTTGATGATGATATCATTTCCGGCTTCGATCAAAGCCGCCGGCAGAGGAGGTGGCAGCAGCTCCGTTGGTGGGGGTGGTGTTGGCATTTCGGGTGGGCGATTTGGCGGAAGTGGCAGCAGTGGCGGCAGTAGGATGGGCGGGGGCTATGTTCGTGGCGGCAATATGTGGGATGAAGAAGAAGAAGAACCTGAGACGGGTAGGTATGGTGCTAATCCTAGTAGCCCTATAGGTAGGGCTGGTCCTGTTCCTACAGGGGGATATGGAAGTAGTGGGACAAAATATCCAAAGCCTCAAAAGGGTGGAGGGGACCCGGGAGTGGCGATTGTGGTGATCCCCAAGCCACTTGTGAAGGAGCTGCCAAAAGAATGCAAAGAGGATCTTAGAGATTGCATCACTAAGCATATATCCGAAGGTGGGGAGGAGCCTAAACACCGAGGGTCATGTTGTGTTAAACTTAAAAACTCAATACCATGTGTCTGTAAATTCCTCACGTCCAAGGATCCAAAGGTGCAAAAAGCAGCTAATGGTGTGCTTAGAGGTTGTCATTACCGTAAACCCGTTTGTATTAAGATGCCAATGCCACAAGAATGCAGACAAGAGGTTAGACATTGTGTCAATACGCATCTTTACGGAACTGCCGGCCAGCCTAGATACCGAGGGGCGTGTTGTATGAAGTTTAAAAACTCGAAATCTTGTGTGACTAAATTCCTTGTCTCCCCGGATCCTAAGCTAAACGAAAATGCTAATGGTATACTTCGATGTTGTCATTTCCGTAAACCCTAATGGATAAACAACTAAATTAGCAAGCTTATTTTGAAATTTTGTACAAATTAATCATATGGTTTTTTTTTAATCAGTATTGTTATTGATTTTTGTATATATTTTTATATATATTTATACGTGTATGTATCTCTCTTTGAAAATTAAAATATACACTAGCATGGTATGTGTAATTTTATTTAATTTAAAAAAAGGTTGTTGAAGTCTTATGCTTTATGAGAAGGCTTGAAAAAAAAAACATCTCAACAAATGTTTAGACAAGTGTTTTCTCAAATATTATATTAGGAATTAGTTAGATGTATACCATTTTTTTAAAAAAAAAATTCCAACGCGATTTTGGTCACAATTTTATTAGTAAAATGTAACAATCAAATGATCAATTAGAAAAACAAATTAAAAATGCAAAACATCACTTACTTTGAAAACGTCTTTGAATATGTAACGACAACAACTTCACTGTTTCGAGGACTTTTTGTCTTATAAAAAAAAAGTAAATTTCATGTCTAAATAGCAAACGCATGGCAGTCCGAAAATACGACGAGGAATTGTTCTCTGAAGATTTTACCGCTACTAGTAAGGAGTGACAAAACACTTTGTGTGATAGCTATGAATTAACGTATAACAAACTTAAAAATGGTTGTAGATAAACAAGTAGTCTTTTCAAAACTAATACTCCATAAATTTTGGACCGTCTAGAGATGTTTGATAGCAGCAGTGATATGCCTATGCATGTTTGATTCGTCCATATCAGTTTTTAAAATGTAGTTTACTGGTTTTATTTGTTTGATCTATTAACTAGAGAGAGAAGGGAAAACTAATTCTCATTAATTCTCTGTAAATGTGTTTGATACATATATATACAAGATGGTTATATGGTTAAGTAAAAGGAAGCTTAACCAAGATAAACTAATAATACATATATGGTTAATACACCCCCCTCAAGCCGAAGCTTTTTCCGGAATGTAGAGGCTTGAAAGTGATAACCTCTTCAGTAGAGAGTGAAAAGGACTTGGATGGAGAGGCTTGGTGAGAATATCTGCAAGTTGATTCGTTGTGGAGACATGAATTAACTTCAGAAAATCACTCTTTACTTCATCTCTGGTAGTATGGCAATCTACTTCCACATGTTTGGTCCTCTCATGGAAAACTGGATTGTTAGCAATATGCATTGCCGATTTGCTGTCACAAAAAAGCTTAGTCTTCGAGGAGACAGGTATATGAAGATCCTGCAACAACTGAAAGAACCATTTCAACTCGCCTGTAGCTACAGCAAGGCCACGATACTCAGCTTCAGTACTACTCCTGGCCACAGTCTCCTGCGTCTTCGACTTCCATGTAATGAGGGAATTGCCAAGGAAAATACATAAACTAGTAACCGAACGCCTTGTATCAGGGCATGTAGCCCAATCTGCATCCGCAAAACCATTGAGGCAAAGATCTGTATCAACTGAGTAGAAAAGACCTTGTCCAGGGTTCATCTTCAAGTATCTCAATATATTGTGTGCCGCATGAAGATGCATATCAGTTGGACAGGATAGAAACTGGCTAAGACGATGAACAGCAAACGTAATATCTGGACGAGTGATGCAGAGATATTGAAGTCTCCCGATCAATTCTCTATAAGGTGTAGCATCATCCAACCGTTTTCCAGTTTCTTTACTTAGTGACACCTTCGGATCCATGGGAACGGACCTTGGTTTACATCCTAGCAGACCCGTATCCTCAAGAAGGTTCAAGCAATATTTCCTTTGAGATATAGAAATACCCTTTGAATTCCTAGCTATCTCAAGACCTAAGAAGAATCTAGCTGGACCTAGATCTTTTGTCTTAAAATGTTTCGCCAGTGTCAACTTAACAGATACTACGGCTCCATCATCATTACTAACTATGAGAATATCATCAACATAGATTAAGAGAGCTATGATTGATGTACCTCGAATTTTCACCAAAAGTGTGTTGTCAGCATATGACTGAAGAAAACCATCATCTGTTAAAGCCTTGGTAAGGCACTTGTACCATTGGCGGGAGGCTTGTTTGAGTCCGTAAATGGACTTACGGAGTCGACACACTGGATTTGGCGGTAACACTCCTGAAGTTGGTGTATATCCTTGCGGCAAACTCATGTAAATCTCCTCGTCAAGATCACTGTGGAGAAATGCATTTGAGATATCCATTTGAGTCGTGCTCCATCCTTGTCTCGCAGCAAGACCAAGAATCAATTTAACACTAGCCAACCGTGCAACTGGGGAGAATGTGTCAAAATAGTCCACCCCTTCTTGTTGTGTGAAGCCCTTTGCAACAAGGCGAGCCTTGTAGCGTTCAACAGTACCATCGGCATGGTACTTAATCGTGAAGACCCACTTGCAGCCAACCACATTTTTGCCAGGAGGTAAACTTTCAACATCCCAAGTTCTATTATCCTCCATAGCATGAAGTTCCAGGTTACAAGCATCCGTCCATTCTTTAGATGCCATAGCCTGTTTGAAATTCTTCGGTTCTTTTTCCATTGAAAATGAGAGAACAATAGACTGATATATGGGATTTAGCTTTGAGTAAGTCAGAACAGAAGAAATGGGATATGGAGTAGAAAAAACCTGTGTAGAATGGGGAGGAGTAGAAATTTGAGTGAGAGAGCAATGGTAATTAGACAAGTAACTAGGTACCTTTGTGTTGCGCTTCGGTCTAGCATTAGGTAGTGAAGTAATACCGGTTTCTGTAATAACAGGGGTTAGAAGTATTTCCTGGACAAAGAGAAGGAGATTGTGATGCAGATGATGATGTATGAGATGGAGGAATATCAGGGGAAGAAGAATGATGCATGTCAGGTATATGAGATGAGCTAGAATGTGGAATTGTAACATGTTCATCTAAGACAGCAGGAATTGGTAAAGGAAGTATAGAGCTTTGGAAAATATCCACTGAATGATTATCAGAGATAGTGGCAAAAGGAAATGTAGATTCATGAAAAACTACATTCCTAGAGACAGATATAAGATTCGAATCCAAATGTAAGACTTTGTATCCTTTATATCCTGTGGAATATCCTAAGAAGACACACTGATCTGCACGAGGACTAAACTTGTTCCTATCTTTTTGTAAAGTAGAAACATAGCATAAGCACCCAAAAGATCGAAGAAAAGAGTAATCAGGGGTTTTCTTTAGTAAAAGTTCATACGGGGTTTTGTTCTTGAGAAGAGCAGATGGTAATCTGTTAATGAGGAAGACAACAGTCAAAATGCATGAACTCCAGTATATTAATGGCACTTTCGATTGAAATAAAAGAGATCGTGCAACATTTAACAAATGCTGATGTTTTCTTTCAACAACTGAGTTCTGTTGTGGTGTGTATGCACAAGAAAATTGGTGAACAAAACCATATCGAACAACTAGATTAGAAAAAGCGAGTTCAGGAGCGTTGTCAGTTCTAATAGCCTTAATAACAGTATTGTATTGTGTGTGAATATGAGTAATAAAGGAAGCAAAACGTTGGTAAACTTCACTTTTGTATTTCATCAAGAATATCCACGTTACACGAGTACAGTCATCGACAATGGTTAAAAAGTACCTATAACCTTCAACAGACTCCGTATTAAAAGGGCCCCAAATGTCTAAATGAAGTAAATCAAATGGAAGACTAGACATGTGATTATTAGACTCAAACGGTAATCGTTTTTGTTTAGCTAAGGGACATATTTGACAATGAGACTCAGAGGACTTACTAGACTTGGACAGAGGTAAAACATTGGACAATTGAGCTAATCTCTCATAAGATGGGTGGCCAAGACGTTGGTGCCAAAGCGAATTATCAAGCATCACGGATCTAGAGAAAAATGCAGATGAAGGAGGATTGTGAAGTTGTAATATGTAGAGATTGTGAATGAGATGTCCTCTACCAATCATCAAGCCCTGAATAGACTCCTGGATGAAACAAGAATCAATGTAAAAATGTGCTGAACAAACGCCATTGTGAAGTAAACTACTGACAGATAAGAGGTTGAATTTGAATGAAGGGACATGCAAAACATTATGTAATGACAGGGATGGTGATAAATGTACTGTGCCAGTGTGTGTAATCTCTTCTCTATGTCCATTCGGAAGTGATACTGTTATTCCAGAAACCGATACTATGTCACTAAACAAAGCCAAATCAAAACACACATGACAAGTGGCACCACTGTCAATTATCCAAGAACCAGGGGGGAGATTATTATATAGAGTGGATAAACATTTATGTTGGAAAGTCAGTCTATCATTTTCAAATCTCAATGAAGAAGATGGAAAAGGAATGATACCAGATGAGGATTGAGCAGCCATAATTCCATGCTCTGTAATGGTAGCAGTCGGTGCACTAGACGATGGATTGTCTGTAGGATCTGAGACTTTAACTTGTGCACTCAGCTGTTGAATGAGAGTCTGAACCTGCTCCGGGTTCATGTTACTAAAGTCGAGATTCAAAGGGGATTGAGCTGGAGGTGGCATGTATGGGTAAGCATCAGTCATCATATTTGCCACAACTTGTGGTCTTGGACTTTCAAATCTTCCTCGGGGTTGAAAAGCAGGAAATTGTCCTCTTGGTTGAGATTGAGGTTGAGTAGGGGCGAATGGTCTTTGACCTTGATTGTAAGCTGAGGAAGCACTCTTGTAGCCAGGAATATATCCAGGGGGATACCCATGTAGTTTGAAGCATCGTTGAATAACATGTCCTGTTTGACCACAATGAGTACAAACTGGTCTCGTTTTGGGTCGATAGTTGTTCTGTAAGGCATATGCTGCATAATCCACATTTTCTGAGGTGTCCTGAGTAGACTGAGTAGGACCAGAACTTTGGAAAACCACATTTTCAGGTCTCGTTGGCTTCATTGACTTTTGTCTCTCATCTTGTGCTACCATATTATATGCATCTTCAATTGACGGTATTGGCTTGAGAACAAGAATATGTCGTCGAATTGACTCATAACATTCATTTAATCCCATCAAAAATTTGATGACTCTGCTTCGAAGTTGCATCGATTCCCATTGAGTTGCTGCATTGCACTCACATTTTCCACGAGTACATACTGGTAACTCAACATAGTTGTTGTATTCTTCCCACAGTGTGATGAGTTCCGTATAGTAAGAGCTAACATCCAAAGATCCTTGATGAATATTACTAAGCCTTTGTTCTATCTCAAAGATTCTAGGAGCATCATCTTGTTTGAATCGAGCTAAGAGATTTTTCCAGATACCTGAAGCCGTGGAGATGAACAAAAGACTTTGGCCAATCTTCTTAGAAACCGAATTCATGAGCCATGTGGCCACCATATCATTACACCGGGACCAAGATCCGGCATCTCTATCACCATCTCTAGGTTTAGGAATCGTTCCGTCGATGAACCCTAGCTTATTGCGGACATTGAGCGCCATACGAACCGAACGTCTCCAAGAATGAAAGTCTGTGCCAGTGGTGAGTCGATCGGAAACTAAGATAAGTCCAGCATGATCAGAACTATGAAGATAGTAATGATTTTCGTATTGGTCCATCTGTTGTGAGGTACCACCCGAGGATTGATGTAAATCAGGAGCCATCGCAATGTGCGAGAAATCAAGAATCTGAACAATTCAATGTGAATCGAACGAAAGAAAGAAGATGTAAGTGCTGAAAATGAAGAAGAACAGCAAGAACTAGGTCAAACAAGAAGAAGAAGAACAGAGACAACGATCGATGCAATCGCTGATTGTAGAACCAGACAAACGTTAACGAGAATCTCAACAAGAATCAAATTGATCAAATCTCTTCGGGAAGTGCTCATCGAGATGAATCGAAGCTTAATCGAAGATGAAATCAAGCTTGATTGAAGAAAAAATCGCGATGAAGAAGATGAAGTCGTTACGCGGAAGAGAGAGTGTTAGAGCTCTGATACCATATTAACTAGAGAGAGAAGCGAAAACTAATTCTCATTAATTCTCTGTAAATGTGTTTGATACATATATATATACAAGATGGTTATATGGTTAATTAAAAGAAAGCTTAACCAAGATAAACCAATAATACATATATGGTTAATATGATCGGCTCAGAAGTTGGGGATTGAATATCTCTTCGGCTTGTGTTCTTTGTTCTAACAGAATATCCCATGATCATCTATTATTTGGCTTCGATTAATCTCTCCAAATTTGGCATGATCTAACTTCTAGGATATGGAAAAATCTTCCTATAGATCTATTGAGTTCTGCATCATGGATTCTTCAGCCTCGACCACCTCCACAATCCTCAGCATCTGTTATCATCAAAGTTATCAAACATAATCTATTTAGTTAACCTTTAAAATACTTACATTTATAATTATACATACAAGCTACTTATCTATATTTCATGTAAAAATATTTAAAGTGGGGGAAAAATGTGTAAAAATATGTAGTCTAGTTATTATATTAATGTCGTTGCTGATTGTGCAGTTGTTAAATAATGATATGAAGATATTACTGTATTCGTTTAAGATGCTAGAAGAAAACTTAATCAGGAAAGCCCAGTAATAACGTCCAATGTCAGGGCCCATCATGTGTTTAGGGTTTCAAAAGGAATTCGAGCTATATGGTCCCTCTCATTCAATAGCGAGACATTCCTTTTATGTTCACTTCCTTTGATCGAGTTTTTTGTTTGTTTGTATAGACTGATAATCAGCATCAAATACTAGCCGTAATTGAAAATTAATTTTGATATTAAAAAGAAAACAAAAAAAAAACATGTGTTCTATCTTTAATGGTGCAAAATCAAATAATATTTTTTTTTGATGAGATATACGTGTGTATATCGTATGTTTAAGTTGATTTTTTTTTGCTCATGAAAAGAAAATACTGTCGGGATTTTTGTAATTAAATGTGGTTTGTTTCTCATGTGGATTTGGAATTTTCCCAAGGACCTACAAGCAACCATATGATATTAAATGCGTGAGGCAATAAATTAGAAAAAAGTAGGACTACCTGAATCTATCCAACATTGTTTTATATTACTTGTCTTTTCATTTTTGCATATTCATCAGCTCTGTCGGCAAACTGAGGTCCACTTTGATAAGTCTTTAACTTTTTTTTTTTGCATTTCTCCTTTTGTTGAGTGAGCTCCATTATATTACCCCATATACATTATAGTATACATAAAAAGGAGCTCAGCTCGATCATATTACTTGCAACTTTTTTCGATTTTTTTTTATATTTAGGTTATATCTATTTCGATAATGTAAGGCGAGTAGATATGTGTGTGTTTTAGTGTGCAAGTGTTTCTGTCGGTGAAATTGAGCGTAAATCTTGGGCGCTTATTTATTAGCCGAGTTTTGCGTTAGACGAAAAGATTGAATTAACCATCAACTACTATATGTAATACTACAGAGCTTTGTTAGTTTATCTTTTTATTCTCTAATCCAGATCGTATTTGGGTAAAATTGTGATTAATTAATTACAAACATACCTAAACAGTACTGTAAATTGTATGAACGTAAGACTAGAGATGTCAGATCGTTGAATAAATGTCTCATTTGACTTTTTACTTATTTAGACTAATGATTTTCATTAAAATATGATGCATTTCCCTATTCAGAATCAGAACTAACATTTTTTTTTTTAATATGGTTTCTCAGTTCATAGTTTAGACGTTTGTTTTTCATTACTTTACGATTTATATGGATAAACAGTATTGATCGTAGAACATCAAAATCAAGAAAAAAAAATAATAATATATATATTCATAAGTTGAATAATCTTAAAAACATAATTCTTTTTAACAGAATCATAATTTAAATAGTTAAAAACACCAAAAGCTACTATTTAATACACTAGTGACTACACTAGACAATTGTAATTTACTCGTAACTGATAACTTGTTTTTACAAGTTTTTAAACAAATTAACCCATCCAATAGAAAGGGAGATATGATCTAATCGCTGTTCTCAAAATAAAATGAGAAGACAGGACCGAGGCAGTGGGACACACGGAGTAAAAGTTAATTTTTCAAACTCAGTGTGGCCCCAGATCATCTATCTTATTCTTTCCTATTATAGTATTTAATGCTTCAATCCATTTTCCCCTTCTTTATTTGTTTTTCTCCTTTTTCTTTTTTAATTTTACTTTATTTCAATGTTCCTCACAACTGCCATTTGAAAATTAGAAGTACATTTCTTTCTTACTATATACACTATCATTTAATTGGTTGTTTTATTATAGCAACTGCAAAATAAACAATAAAACATATTACATATTAATAGTTGTTGTTACTGATTGTTGTCACCAACAACTGTGAAACAAAAGAAAGCCATAATATTTTGCGTATTAATTAACATCTACTATGTGAATAGCCTAGATACCCGTTCAACAGTATAAAACATCCTACCCACTCCCACCTCTAGACAACACAATCTTTCATGCCTTTAATCAAGCATCCTCATTCTAAAGTACACCAATCTTTATTAGATTTTATTCAATTCAATAGTAATAAATTATACTCCTAGAAAACATTAAAGTCGCCATGTGGATGCTTATAAAGCACAAGAAGAATCCTAATAAGTCTCAATTCATACAACTATTTGAAAAGCTAAAGTTAATGGGTCTTCTTGTTTTGCTCTCCTACGGTAAATAGGAAAACTTGTTAGCAGGAGAGTAGTTAATTATGATAAATGGTGCAGTAGAAACCCAAACTTTTATAGTTTTCAAATTCAATAAATAACAAAATGAAAAGTAGACTCGAAAACCAAATATTCCTTATCCAATTATATTTGTTCTGTTTCGCAAGTGTCAATTTAAAGTTAATTGTGTTTCATAAATTAAGATTTATCCAAAGATAGTAAAATTGAGTCAAATAATGAGGCATATCAGCATACGTGAATAATTTTTAATATTTGTAAAAAATGTCATAATCAAATCCCCTCTATACCAACTTTATATTTTAGTGTTATATAACTGATCGATAGTAAATTTTTTTTTTTATATAATATAAACCAGTCTCCCTCCCCCTTTATATTGGATACTCACCTTAAAAGACGAAACACTTAGTTTCTGTATTTCTTCTTCATCTTCCATCTCACCTGTTTTCTAAAAGCAAGCCTTTTCAATAATGGGCAATAAACGCATAGAAGCAATGATGATTTTAGTGGTAGTTATGATGATGTTCTCATGGAGGATTTGTGAAGCGGAGAGCTTAAGAAGACACACGTCATCCTCAAGACGAGGAAGATTTTTTAAGGTGAGAAGACCAAATCCACTACATCATCATCATGGTTTCATTGACCATGATTATCCTCCAGAAAGTTTCTCAGGATTTTTGCCCAAGACAATGCCAATTCCACGTTCTGCTCCTTCCAAGAAACACAACGTCTATGGTTTACAGAGTACTAAGTCCCAAACATATCCATGATCTTTATCACCAAGATCACTTACACATATTACATATATACATACATAGCTATATATGCATGATACATACCTATAGCATAGAGATCTAGTTATGTCTTTAATTTCTTCTCTCTCCCCTTTCGTGTTTTCTTTTTTAATTTTTAAGAAAGTTTTCTGGGAAGGAATTGTTGTATTTGCTAATTCCATCGAGAATAACCAAATTAAGGTCGAGCTATTTTTGGATGCACGCCTACTTATTTTAACCCTACTTAGCTTGGGTAATTATGTATCCTATATGCAATTGTGAACTCATGATTGAATCATTGTAATGCATCATGCTAATGTACCTTCTCCGTTCTATCACTAAACCACCTATGTTCTACTTGTATTTTATTTTTTAAAGTCAAGAAGCATTTAATGCTTAGTAATGATTTTTCTCATAGTATTAATCACCAACAAATACTCCAGAAACAAAAGATTACCAGAATTGACAAAAAAAAAAAAACTAAATACTAACAAGTTTTATATAGATCTCGAAGAAATAAATATGTCATATTAATGACCACCTACAAAATTTCTTCGGACACGTTCAGACATATTACATGGGACCTGCAGACGCTAAATTTTTCATAAATGAAGTCACAAATTAAATGAAGTCATCATAAATGATGCGACGACATATATATATATATTATTGGCATATACTTTATGCTAATGGAAATTATTATTTCTTCAAAAGGAGAAAACATAGAGTAGTTTGCATACAAATGACTGTATATGTACCATCATAAATCTTAACGTTGACTTAAGTTTGTCTTGTAGTTTCGATTTGATAATCAAAAAGAACTTTGAAATGTTGTAGTGAGAGGATACAACACATTTATTAGCAGCACCAACTAACCAACCATACATTAGTGATCTTATTGCAGCCAAACACTCCAGTTCGACTTTTGCTATAGCTTAATTACCATTGCAATTTGTAATTAATGAATTGAGGTTTCCATTATTTTGTGTCTACTTGACTGCTTCTGCGTTAGCTTTTAGTCTACATTTTTTAACAGAGACGAACACACAGAGTACTTAATCATGTTAAGGAGAAATTATGTGTGTTTTATACGTAAACGCTTAATGCAAACGCAAAAGTTAATTATGAGTTGCGTTTAAAACAATGGAGACATGTAAGCCTTACAAAAATAAAATCTAAGAGCATGAATTTCTTTATTAGAAAATCAGAACTAACCGCATCATATGTATTGTAAAGTTATACTAGTATGAGCTAACTATATGAGTTACTTGGGCGACAAAAATAAAATAAAATGAGATTTACCTGAAAAGGCCTTTAGGTTGTTTCCAAAGCATAGAAATTTTTAATATACATATATATATATATATATTATGTAGTATGAATAAAAAGGTCGAAAGTTGTGATGGAATAATTTTAGGTTTCCTATAAGTTATTTTTTTAGTTACTGCTTTAAGACAATATGACAAGTTGATAAAAGCGTCGGTCAACATATTAACTAATCAGAGTTCAAAAAATACTAACGCAAAAATGATGGATAAAATTGAAAGATAAGTAAATATAATGAATGACCCAAATTATTGTAAAGTCTAAAATGGTAGACAAAAAGAATATATGAAGAATGAGAATGAGAAAACTGTAATAGCATTGGAAGTTGATGTATTTTAGCTGCCAAAATTCGTTGTGGGTTGACTTATATTTTGATAACACATTATCACCTTTAGTCACACAATTAGGTAATGACAAACGGTTGTCATTAGTCTTTTAATCACAAAAGTCGACATTTTTTCAATCTAAAAAGTCTGAAGACCTTGATTTGGCAATTCGAATTCGATACTTCAACGGTGTTCTCAACATATATATATATATATATTGTTGCTAAAGTGATCTGAGAACGGGACGATCATTTTATATATACAACATACATGTAGAGGACATTACTCTCTCACAATATCGAATCGAGATAGACAAAGAACAAAAAACAAAAAGGCAGAAGAGTTAGGTTGAACAATGAAGAGTTTCGGGGCAAAATGTGGAGAAACTTAAAATTATGGGGCAAAATCATACAAATGTTTATATGACTACTACTGAGGAAGAACGTCTTCTTCTTCTTCGTCTCTGTCTCTATGCGTTTGAGAAGCTGTTGATTTCTCCGACACTCTCACGTTATATTTCTCATACACTTTTTCCCGATTCTCTGACCACCATGTCTCTGCTTGATGTTCTCCGAATCTTCTTCGGCTGCGAAAAAGAAAAAAAAAGAAAGAAATTCACAACCTTTAGCATCATCAGACTGACTGGTAAAAAGTTGGAATGTATAAATCAAGAATATGAGCAGATGCTAAACCTGAAGCGGACTCTTCTTAGATCTCTAGTTCCATCGTGGAGGGCGACAAGGGTTATATACACGCCAGGCTCGTACTGTTCGATCCACTCTGCTTCTACCTGATTAGTATTGTTGTTAACAGCTCCTGTTTGGCTCGAACCATTGTCGCTGCTGTTGTTTTGAAACTGAAAAGGCTCGTGTCTCTCACTGACTACTGACCCGCTGCTGCTAAGCCGTGGATCTGCTGGATAAGCGTTGTTGTTGTTTCTTTCGCTGGCTCGAGGCGTGTGCTTTGGTGATTGGAGATTGGACCAAGATGATGCATTTGCAAAGGCAAAGTCAAAAGGAGCAACTGAAGATATAGAAGAAGTCATCGACTCCGACCTTGAAGGATGGAAACCATTTTCTTCAGGGAAAAAATGGAAACCGTTGTGGTCAAATCCGTTGGCGAGTTTTATACTCTCACCAGGAGGCAACTTCTCAGCTACATCCTTGAGCTGTTTTTCCAGAAACCAAAAGATAGCTTATTATGAGTCAACGGAGTCTTCCTTTGTGAGATCTCAAGCTTCGATGTAGTTGACAACAAATATATATATATTTGAAAACCGATTACATTATACCTGCGCTATGAGCGACTTTATTGCCTCTTTTGCGGCTCTTGATTTGGCAGATTCCTCCTCTGCCAATGCTAAAGCTTCCTGAGTCTTCTTAACCGAATTCTGGAGCTCCACTTCTTGGAGCTCACACTTTTGAATCAGACTGTCAACCTAAACCACCAAATCAGATGAATGAATGACAATATTACCACATCCGATACAGAAAGTGAGTGACTTGAGTGCCCTTCTCTGAGAGAGATGCATGTACAGTACCTGTGTTCGTAACTTATTGATCTCCTGATTCAGCATTTCATTGGTCTTTTTCATGTTATCTGCTAAACCCACCGGAAAATAGATTCCGGAAGTTGAAGGCATAGGAGTGGCAGAGCGTGGAGGACTAGATCTCCTAGAGAAAGGTGACACCGACCTGGAGCTAATAATACCTGACTGAGCCGGAGCTAGCTTTGGAGTAGACCTTCGCATGTCGCCTATGTTAGACTGCACAGCATCTTTCAGCTGCAGCAAGGAAGGCAGCTGAGAGTTACGACCGAGTGAAAAATTGTCAGTCTTCTTCCCTTGCTTGGCCGCTTTGCTATCAAGTTGCTTGATCAAGTCCATGTTGGATGTACCAAATCTTGCTAATCTTATTTCAGTTTTGTCCAACCTGTCTTTGTTCTCTCCTGAAAGACGAGGCACAGCGTTGTTTCTCCTGTTAGTATCGTTTACCTCAGACACTTTGCTGAGCTTAACGTAACAAGAGTCGCACACACGATACAGTCTTCCCGCGCTTGGAGCCAATGCAGCGCGGAATGCCTTTTTGGAACTGCATGAGTGGCAGTGCACGAGCCCACAGTTGTAGCAGTTATGCCTTTTCCGTGTAAACCCAAAGGCCAGTCTACAGGTCGAGCACTGAGACTGCTCAGCACCAGAGACCCATTTGTGGAGACATATGGCTGCAGTGTAATTCGATCCGCATGCAATGTACTTGACGTGTCTGTCCTTCAAAGCTTCCACAAGAGTTGGCACTTTTCGATCCTCAAGATCACCATGGCCTAATCTCCCGTTGGCTCCTTTACCCCATGTGTAGACTTCATTTCGAGATGTTAAAGCCGCCACGTGATACGCACCGCAAGAGATCTCCTCCACAAATTCACTCGCGAGCTTGTCCTCCACCAAACACGGTAACTTCCCGTCCGTCTGAAAATTCCCAAGCTGGCCATAAACTGTACTCCCCATCGTGAACACTTGTCCAGACGTGGTCAGACCAACTGTCAAACTGTGTCCACATGCAATCTTGTGGAAGTTGTAGTCAATCAGTGCAGGCACACATGTTGGCTTAAGCCTAGGATCCTTGTCACCGTGTCCAAGACGGTTTTTGTCTCCATCACCCCATGTGAACAGTTTTCCAGACGATACGGAGCTTGAGTTCGACTGTGTGACAATGATCTCCACAACAGCAGCAGTGTGCCAAACCCCGCATGAAACCGCAATCGTTCTCAACCCTGATAAAGATTCAACTTCCCTTGGATACTGAACTGTTTCCCTGTCACCGTGCCCTAAGACACCAAACGTTCCATCTCCAAATGTAAAAAGCCTCCCATATGATGTTACCAAAGCAGTATGCCAAGGTCCACAAGTTACCGAAGCCACATGGAGCCCCTCGAGAGATCCCGCGATTCTCTTTGGTATCCAGTGACTGATATCAGAGCCATGCCCTAAAAGCCCCACATTATGTGTACCGTCACCCCAGGTATAGAGCTCTCCAGCCAGAGTAACAGCACAAGTGTGGAATTCTCCACAAGCAACGAAGTCAACAGATGAAGCAGCTGTGAGAGATTCAACAAGACGGGGATGAAAAACATCCTTCCCGATTCCATGGCCCAGTCTTCCTCCAGATTCTTCACCCCAAGTAAAAATCTCGCCTTGCCTTGTCACAAACGCAGCATGCCTGACACCACAGGCAATCTGATGAACATCCAAGACAATGTTAGACTCCAACGGCTTAGGCAGAAGGACATCCGTTCTTGTGGTCAGATAACTTGCATTCTTATCAATCCCGACCTTAACGACACTGTCACATATAACCTCACCCCAAATATAAACGTCACCT